CTCGGCTGGAACTTATTCAAGCCAGAAGCAGCGGTCGCTAGCTCGAAACTATTACGAACTTAAAAAAATTAAAAATAAAAATTCGGGCCATAACAAAAAATTATATGCCTTATATTTGATCATGAAAACTAGTCGTCTAAAAGAACAGCCTTTATCTGAGTAATAAGGTTTGTATTTCCTCAGCGATCTTTGCGCGATTGAAATTTATGTTTATAAATTTGAGACTTCTTAGTTCAAAAACGATTTCTCTGAAACAATGACGAAGGGCCGTCACCATTTCCTTCCCTTTTAATAGTTAAAGAAGTTGATGGGCTACCAGAGCGGTGCAAGTCTTAAGCCAGATCTCAAATGGCTAAAAATGTGATCTGCATGTAATATGCTAGGGATTTTGATAGACGATGGAGACCAGTTCTTTGTGCAAGATATTTATTCATTTAAAAAAAATTCTTTTGAATGATCGACACCTTACATTATTTTACGGAGTATATTTAATATGATAGCTCATGCATATATAGTTGAAATAACTACGATTTGATTGTTGAAATTGCTAAAAAAAAGATATGAGAATTTTTTTAGAATCAAAAATGAAATTCGCTGTAACTTCTAATTCATATTGATTTTTGATCAAAAGAAAGATTTGCCAACCAAATCGGATTGAAAATAAATTTATTTTCTAACGCGTCACATCCTGCAACCCTTGACTCAAACTCAACTAAATTCAACACTTAAACATTGCCACACCTACGCCACATCCTCGTTCGACACACACGAGCGTTTTTGACACCCCCGGGCAATGCGCAATCAATGGGAGCACCTTTTTCTGGCCGAAAGGATGCAAAAGCATTTAAGGCAGCGTAGTACAAACACACACACACACATACTTACAAGCGCAGACATCTATGCAGATATATAAACATATTTAGGTAAGTGGTTTTGTAGAGTAGCAAATTATTTCAACAAAACGTGTTACCGTTAACTTGCCAAACTGCAAGCAAGTAAGTGAATACTGAACTAAAGGAAAACTTACACACACCCACACAAACGTGTTTCTGTTTATATAACTATAACGAAACTTATCCCTTTCGTAAATAAATGTGTATGAACCCAGATTCACCGGCATATCATGTGCACGTGACTGCCGCAATTTCTGGCATAACGAAAAGTGTCTACCGCACGAAAGCGGGAGTGAAAACAATAGAGATTTTCTTCCACTATGACCCTTCTTCCTCAACCTCTGCCGCTTCTACCACTGCCTTCACTTTCACTCCGGCTGCAGCCGCAATCGGTGTAAAATTGTGCATCAACCTGGCGAGCCAACCAACTAACCGACTAACCTACTCGTCTCTGATGCTAACATATTCACACACACGTCCACACACACACTCACACACAAACATACACCTGCATAACAGCAATGCGCATTTCCTGCTACATCGTACGGCACACATGTAACTCCTCACTTGTGGCAAAATATATTTTATGGCGCAAGTATACAAAAGATATGATTATGTGTAAAACTCTATTATAAGCTAAATATACTGTTAGCTATGATACATACATGCGAGCATGTGTGTGTGCAAGTGAGAGTGGGCTGAGAGTGCTTGCATAAATTGGGTGAATTTTACTGCTATTTATCGCTAAAGAAATTATCAATATTTTAAGAAAGGAAAGTAAAAATGGCAATTGAAAGGAGTTGGAGTTTAGTAGGTGAGCGGCTTGCTGGTCATATTTAGGGCAGATTAGATTGCAGGAAAACTTCAATTAAATATGCCACTAAGAAGCTTAGTAATAGACACATGCAGATGGCCGATAAGTAACGTAAAGTGAATATTTGTTCAAATTGAATTTTTCATGCAGCATAATAAATTATGATACCATCGTTATAACATAGTAATAAATTTCAATTTCTGTTATAAGTATAATATTTTTTTTATTTATTCAGCTTTAAGGGGCACACCTAGTGTAATGGCCTAAAAAAAAAAGTGACGGGTGGGAATTTTTAATAAAAAAAAATACTTTATCAATTATTCCAAAATTTTACAAATATATTATATTTATATATGCTTCAAGAATATACAGTGAAATTTATGAAGAAAAAAATTAAATTTTTTTTTAAGTTATAGTCGATCTCGAACGCCGCGAAAAAAGGTCCTTCACTGCTGTAGTTATTCAGGTCTTCTCCGTTGATGAAACTAAAAAAAAATTCTCTACTAGATAATATTGTCTGTTCAAAGACCTATGCTAAAAAAATCAAAAATTGAGAATATTTCGCTTTATATGCTACTAACATTTTTCGACAAGACGAACGAATATTTATGAAATCGAAACTTATTCCTAATAATTTTATTAATTTCATTTTTTTAATTAAAAGCAAAATATTGTTTTCAAAATTAAAAATTTTTTATTTTTTATTTAATTAATTAATATTTCGCAGCAAAGCTTAGCATAACTGCACTGTTGAATTATTAAGATAATAATTCATTTTTCAAAATATGTGAGATTTTCCACATTTATTTACTTTGCTAATGGAATCTAAATAAGTTTGTGAAGACCTGTTACCTTTTACCTTCACACAAAAATGTTTTATTCATAATCATAATTTTAAGAGGCATACTTTTAGGCGTTGTGTGTACTTAAAATTTGTTTAATTTTGATATGACGATCGGAAGAGTAAAATCCTCACAAATTTATTTAGATTCCGTTAGCAAGAAAAAAAATTAGAAAAACCCACATACCTAAAAGAATAGATGGAAGAATAATTAAAGCTTTATAAGATAATGACCGAAATCCCTTTTTGTAATATACGTTGAAAGAATAAACTTCATAAAAACTAACAATTAAATCAAATATTCAATAATTGTTCAGAGGAAACAAATTTTTATTGCATGAATATACGAAAACTTTTGGTACTCATGATTAGGTGTGATTTCTTAAAGTAGGGTCATGAGTTCAAAAGAAAAAAGAAAACCAAGCGGGAACAGAGCTTGGTTAACTTATTTACACAACATGCATTAGAATTAACATTTAACGCAGTTACATTAAAATTATTCAGCTTGTGAAAAAGCCTAAAAGATAGCAAGAACATTTCTTCAAGTAACAAATGCAAACTACTTTTTTCGAACTCAATAATTGAAATCTTAGATACTGAGATATGAAGTCACACTGCTTTTCGCCGATGAGCGCTTGGTTTCAATATCAATTAACCTTCTCATGTCACAACCTTTGATAAGATTATAAATTTGCACTAAAATTCAATTTTGGGCTAAGGTCAAAAAGCAATTGCCAAATATATGCAACGAGCAATATAAATAAGAGTGGCTTCCAAGCAACACTCATCAGTCGAATTCCAGACGTTGTTGAATTCTTACGAAAAATTTATCCATTCCTTTTTCATCAAAAATAAAATCAATTGCGTAAAAAACATATGATTACACATTTTGAACCCAATCGTTCAGATTACAGTATAACAAGATCTGGTGGCTCAATGAAACCACGGCATTCCTACGCTCCAACGCGGATTCGGCGACCCAATTACACATATAAAGAGCTTATAACGATGGCGATCAAACAAAGTTCGGGAAAGGCGCTGCCGGCTTGTGGTATTGTAAATTGGATAAGTAGCAAATTTATGTACTATCGAAAAGCAGAGAATGACTGGCCGAGTCGAGTGCGATGTACCTTAGAAGAAAACAAATGCTTTTTGAGAATGAATCAACCAGCTGAGGGAAGTGATTTTTTGTGGACAGTGGCTTGCTCAACTTATAAACCAGGGGATTCCATTGCTTTGCCGCACGGTACAACTGGCGTTGAAATTATACCTTTCACGCACTCACAGGACCGGGTTGCCACGCTGGAAGAGCAAACAAAGCTGCTGCAGCTAAGGCATCCAATGCAAGAAAAAATTAATCGAAATTACGAACCCAGTCGTTCCGCTTGCAATACAACAAATTCTGATGGCTTATTGTTGTTACAGGGCATCACGTCCTCAGCTCCGATTGAGAAGCCTAATTGTACAATCAAAGAGCTAATAATAATGGCAATCAGTAATAGTGCAGAAAAGGCGCTGCCGTTTCCTGATATCATAGAATGGATAAGTAACAACTTTCTGTACTACCAAAAAGCAGATTATAACTGGCAGCATCAAGTTCGATGTACCTTAAAAGGCAACAGTTGCTTTTGTGCAATTTATCGACCAGATGGGGATAGTGAGGTTTTGTGGACAGTGGCTTTTGAAAATTATCAACAAGGTGATCCATTTGTTAAGCCTCATGTTGGGCTTGTTGGTGGCACCATGAAGTTGAGTATTTCTTCTGCAGATCCACAGGCCGAGTACTCCGTACAAACGAATATGATTCCAGGTGATGGTGCAACGAATTCTGATGGCTCAAAGTCATCGCAGTGGAGCACGGTACCCACTCCGATTGAACGGCCCGAGTATAAATATAAAGAGCTAATAACGATGGCAATAAACAGTAGTCCACACAAAATGCTTCCGACAAGAGATATTATAGATTGGATAAGTAACAACTTTCCGTACTATGGAAGAGAAATTCAAAAATGGCAAAGCTCTGTGAAACGAGCCTTAAGCATGCATTTTTATAGATTTGAATGCACAGGGGAGAAATATGAGAGTATGTGGGCAGTGCTTCCTACGCTAGAGGAGCTGGCCAGCCTACAGGCAGAGGAGGGTGCCACGATGGCAAATGAACCCGCTATGGAAGTGGCCCAACACCAACAACCTGAAGGTGTCCTCTACCAACAGCAACAAGACGAGCTTTAGGCGGCGAGAGGTAAAAATAATTAAAGCCGTGCAATAAAAAATTATTTATTGAAATTATTTACATACTTTTTTATTGTAACTTATATGTTAAGTTTGAATGAAAATGAGAAAAATTCCAGATTCAAAAAAATTACATATCAATTTTTTATTAAAATTTACTCATTAAAAAAGTGCTATTAAAATTAATAGAATTTCAGTACAAATATATTTTAAACCGATATCGACTGGGCATAGATTTTCTAAAATATATCAGGCACCGCTTGCAATATAATATTATAAAAATAGAACAAATCATCATTCCTTCTTCGCCAGTAGATACTACTCGGAAAACTTCCAAATACACAGGACTGTCGCTTAAAAAGAAGACATGTCTTCGTCAGCTTATGCATGGATTCATTGGATGTCGTTAGAGGAATTAACCATAAATTATGAAACATAGACCCACCCTAATACGCGCTTTGAAGATTGCAACTTCTCTTATTATCTCTCCACCTCGTATTATTTGGGGAGCAGTTTCTTTATTTATATGACGCCATAAATATATTGCTCTATTTAATATATATTTTTTTTTCAGTAATAATACAACAACTGCTCATAAATTCTTTAAATAAAATTTGTTATTACCGTTAATTTGCCATATTTGAATACTGTGTTGTCACCATGCACTGCTGCTGATAAAAATTAAATTGCTGTGCTCGCTGAATATTCATCGCAGTTGGAAAATAGACTGCCAAGAATGCATCAGGATCCTTGCTATGCCGTGAGCTATGGCGTCCGTTGGAAGGCCGTTGAGCCCAGGACCACTATGTGGTGCATTCTGTTTTTGCTGATTAATTGTTGAACTCATTTCCCAGAAATTGCCTCGCCCTGGCTCACCTGCTTCACGCTTAATACGACTAAAATAGTTACTTGTGGAGAGAATGTGCCGTACTTGGTTCTGCCATTCTGTTCGCAATATACTTGACATAGATCAAAACATTGAAGATCCGCCAACACCACCGAACTTCTTGAGTCAGCAATTAAAATGATGAAACAAGTGCAACTTTTTTTAAATTCCTTCTTTAATCTGTCTTTTTAGAAACTCATGTTGATGTAATGAAGTATTATTAATAATATTTTGAAATAAAATATGCAAATGGGGAACTATTTCCATTTTCATTAGGCTTTTCTTACATCACGACCGCAACAATGCTTTCATGGTATTTATGCAAATAGTCCTCTGTCTGAAGTCTTTTTACGCCTGCCTTTTCTGAAAAAATATTCTAATCTGTACAAAAGTAGAACTCAGAAACGGTGGATTTCATTTGTGTTGTAGCATTATACCGTTAATAGGTTAACAGGTCAGAGGTGTTTTCTGTATCGTTTTACTATGCTCAATCCATCCATGCTGAGGTAGAAATCAAAGCAGTCATCAGATAATGCATCTGAGGTATGGAGACAACACTTTTTTTTATCCTTTTTTCAACGCATAAGATGAGAGAATTCCTATTTCGAAATGAGCAGTTACGCCATTCTCATCTTGGTTAGTTGAAGACCTTCTCACTGCTGACTTATTAAGATTACGATTAGTCTGCGATAATGCTGTTTAAGAACAATGAAGTTTAGTGAATTGACAATGGCGACATTTGGCGACAGCTTTCTTTTCGATATTTTTAAGTCCCACAATTTTCCTTATGGCCTTATTGCACATTATGACTCGAAAACAATTGGATTGACTTAAGGATTAAAATCTGTGAGCAAATATAACTCAACGGAAGCAATAACTTAGCGCACAGTTTAGTAAGAAAACGTTAAATTAAAATAGATTTAGGCCAAAATGAAATAACAACTTTTCTTTGTAGCCCAAAACAATTGAAAACTGTAGTAGTATAACCCGTTAAACATTTATGCACAAGAACAATAGATTTTTCGTGAAATATTTCTTATCTTATCTTCAACTTGTTCGGGTTCCTCATTGTCCTTCATGATCATTTACTAAATTAGTGTTTATTGAGCCATAATTAAAATCTATTTAAACGGACCCCGAGTACAGAACAGAAAAGCGTAGCAGCGTTGACTTATGTAAGTAACTATTTAATATTTTGACCTTCACGGCATCTCGCGTAATTCACTTCAGATCTTGCAGGGCGAGACAGAAATTTGGTATTCCAGGAAAAATTAAGATAGATAAATCGTTGTACCTATGTTTAACTTGATTTGAATAGTTCTCGCTCATTTTATGAGGAAAAATATTAATAATTTTCAACCAAATTGAGAAAGAAAATAATGTACAATAATAACAGATTCCTTCTTCGTCGATTGACCTCATTGCTTCTCAGTGAATTTACCGCTGAATTTTTGATTACTTAAGCATTCCAAGTCTCAAATAAATAAATAATAAACGAGGTTATTAGAGCTACTTTAGTCCTTTTAAGGTCATTACTCTGTATCCCACAACAAAATTCTTTCCAAATTCGCACTCAAAATGGTAATCCTTTCCTCGAAATCCGCCATAAGGTAAACACTCGCTAAGTACTAGTCCGGAAGAATAATTAGAAAAGGAAACACAAAAAGCTATTTGAAAATAGATAACATTGAACTATTGATGAAATACCCTCTAGAATTGTTACCGAGTACTTTTCTGCGTCAGACAACATCTGTTTCCACATGAATCAAGCTACTGCTGGCGGTCGGGACAGAGTTCGCCATACAACAAAAACAAACCCTGAAATTTTTATCTCAATAACATAACCCACAGATGTGTTGTTCTTCGGCACTGACCTTGAAGTCGACGCTGAGTGCGTAACCTGTGAGAGCATACTCGGACTTATATTGCGCTCGCTAATGAGTGAGTTGATTATATTGTCAATTATTCTTTTATTATGTCATTGGTCTTTAATGGATTTGCTTATAAGTTTCAGCCTTAGGCTTTAAATTTATTTTCAAATTGGAAATTTGACGGTATAAATACGACCGACTTCAAGAAAGTAGTCATCATTCGTGTCTCAGATCCTGTCGATATTTCAATAAAAATTTTTATAATTATTTTCTTATTCAAAGAGCCAATAAATTGCGCAAACGAAAATGAATCTAGCTTTCGAATCTAAACATTCCATCCGGAACATACTTGGAGTCGATGATGATATTGAAGCTCCGCCAACACCACCCGATTCTGTTGACTCAAGGTCGCCACACAGCTCACCACCTCCGATCCAGAGACCAAATCATACATTTAAGGACCTAGTAAAGATGGCAATAAGGAATTGCCCTCAAAATGCACTCCCACTCTGTGCTATTGTGGACTGGATTAGTCTAAACTTTCCATACTACCGTAAAGAAGATTCTGGCTGGCAGTGTCAGTTGCGACACACTCTTAGCACACTTAAGTGCTTTAAGAAGTTGGTTCGTCCAATAGGTCAACCGGGGCGTGGAAATTTTTGGGCTGTGGTGCCTGATGATCACCAACCAGTAGTTCCCATTGCCGTGCCACACGCAGACTTGTACACCGAAGTTTTGAGGAACGGTATTGNGAAACGGTAAATGCCGAAAACGAAGGAACGATGAGCGGCACGAGTTATATGGCGACATTGCGGCAACAAATTAGGAGACGCGGCCAACTCATGTCCTTTGAGTGCCTAACAGCAATCTAGTTTGAAAGTAGTGAAGCAGAGTTAGTGGAAAACCTTCACACGGTCGGAAAGATCAGGTGAATACTGACTCATGAGTTATTGAGATTAGTGTGCGATAATGCAGTTTAAGAACAATGAAGTTTAATGAATCGACATTGGTTTGGCGACAGTTATCCTTTCGCTATTTCTAAATACTAATATTTTCCTTATGTACTTATTGCACATTATGACTCGAAAACAATTGGATTGACTTAAGGATTTAAATCTGTGAGCAAATATATCTCAACGGAAACAATAATTTAGCTCATAGTTTAGTAAGAAAAGGTTAAAAGAAAATAGATTGAGGCCAAAATGAAATAACAACCTCTCTTTGTAACCCAAAACAATTGAAAACCAAAGAAGTATAAACCGTTAAACAGTCATGCACAAGGACAATAGATTTTTCCTGAAATATTACTTTTCTTACCTCCAACTTGCACTGGCTCCTCATTGTCCTTCATGATCATTTACTAAATTAGTGTTTATTGAGCCATAATTAAAATCTATTTAAACGGACCCCGAGTACAGGACAGAAAAGCGTAGCAGCGTTGACTTATGTTAGTATCTATTTAATATTTTGATCTTGACGGCATCTCGCGTAGTTCACAGGCTTTAAATCTATTGCCAAAGTGGATATTTGACGATATACATACGACCGACTTCAAGAAAGTAGCCATCACTCGTGTCTAAGATCCTGTCGATATCTCAGAAAAATTTATATTATTCTTTTCCTCTTCAAAAAGCCAATAAATTACGCAAACGAAAATGAATCCAGCTTTCGAATCTAAACATTCCATCCGGAACATACTTGGAGTCGATGATGATATTGAAGCTCCGCTAACACCCCCAAATTCTATTGACTCAAGGTCGCCACACAGCTCGCCACCTCCGATTCAGAGACCAAATTATACATTTAAGGACCTAGTAAAGATGGCAATAAGGAATTGCCCTCAAAATGCACTCCCGCTCTGTGCTATTGTGGACTGGATTAGTCTAAACTTTCCATACTACCGGAAAGAAGATTCTGGCTGGCAGTGTCAGGTGCGACACACCCTAAGCACGCTCAAGTGCTTTAAGAAGCTGGTTCGTCCAATAGGTCAACCGGGGCGTGGAAATTTTTGGGCTGTGGTGCCTGATGATCACCAACCAGTAGTTCCCATTGCCGTGCCACACGCAGACTTGTACACCGAAGTTTTGAGGAACGGTATTGCCTGTAATCATCCTCAGGCTGAGGGTGCTGTGTATTTTCCTACACCGGAGGAGGCTAGAGCATACGTAGCAGCAGTGGCGCAGCAGCAACACGGATGGTTTCTCCACCAACAGCAACCATAGAATCATTACTTATTGTTAATTGTTATTAAAACTAATAGTTTCTAATTTTATTAAATATTTTATTATTATTATATTAATTTATTTGAAAAAACCTATATAAATTTGTTGTTAAAAATATTTAGATGAAAATATACTGTGACATAAACTAAAAAAATTAAATAACTGAATGAAAGCAAAAATTATTATTTTTTTTAATTGAGGAGTCAAAAAGGCAATTTTTTCTTCGGTCCCTATTTACAAATATTTCGAAACTGCCCTCGATCTGCAGCAAATACCCGCTCGGAGTTACCTACTAACAGACCTATTCTGTAGCGGTAATAAAATATACCAACAACAAGTTTTTTACCGTTTCGTATTCTGAGTTCACTGTCACTCTCTTAATTTTGTTACCCGCGAGAAGGGAGGCAACAAGCGATCTGCTGTTTGATTTTCTGTTGTTAGGATGAGAAAAAATAAAAAGCAACATGTGTAGGTACATATATATTTTACGTATGGAATTCACTGGAGATTATGAAAAAAATGCTAAAAGGCATATTTTCCATAATAAGGTTCAATTATTTACTTAATAAAAAAATAATTGATAAACAGATAAATAGAACTTATTAGTTTTGTTGTCTTCAAATTTATTGTTAATATTTTTCTTTTAACTTCAGCAAGTGGCAAATATAATTTGACATGGTCCAAGCAATCCATAGTTTTGTCTCCCAATGAAACCTGGGCGCTAGAATACGGAATTGAGTTTTGGTTGTAAAAAAAAATAACAAAATTTACTTTACCAATAACAGTGAGATTTGACTATTCTACTGTACTTATACTGTACATATGAGTACATTCGGGATGTCTCGTTTGTGGTGGAAAATCCAGACTTCAGATTTTCTCTGAGTATGGGTTTTCTGCTAACCGGTCATGGGCCTCTAAATGCTTTTCTGCATGAGAGGCACTTGAGCGGAACGGCGAGCTGTGAGTGTGGTATAGAGCGAGAGGATTGGATGCATGTGTTGTGTGAATGCCCGATGTACTCAGACATTAGGGACTTAGGNTTTAATATTTTTAGTATAAAAGATAAAGAGCAAATTTGATTTGATGAAAGAAAATTAAATAATAAAGTATATTTTGAGGCATGGAAGGTTATTGGTATAAGAAAAACATTCTACGACCATTTTTTCAAAGAACCAATGGGTGGCAGGCGAAATAGAAGGTTCTCAATTCATCACGTAAATATTTTTATTATGTATAACCATGCAAACCTTTGTGCGTATACTTTAGGTCTGTGATAATTATTTGTTTTCTTTCAAAGGAAAGATAGAACTTGAACTTAGGCCCATCGATAGCTGACAAAAGTGTTAACCAGAGGGTAGAAAAGGACGGATATTTCTTTGGTTTCCGTGTAGAATTCTGTTTAACCTGTTATCTGTGTCTTATGTTGTAGTTGATCCAAGAGAAAGTTGGAAGAAATTTAGTCTTTATTCATTGACTCCAACGCATAATCCCTCATAACCGAGTATCGCACTTAGTCCGATTTGGATCATTTTTCGAAATTTGTTTTCTAAGATTAAATAACCAAAAATATTTTCTTTTGTCTTTAAGTTTTTTGGCTGTTTAAATGTTTTCTTTTTAAGCTTTTATTTGATAAGAAGTTCAAGTTAACTATGGGTAATGTCTTAAAGGGATTCCTTTGGAATTATTTTTCTTTCGGATTTTCAGGTGATAAGTAGACTCGTTTATAAAACTTTAAAGTATTCGCATTAATATTTCCATTTTCTTTCCGTTTATCAATTGAAAAAAAAAAGAATTTTCATTATTTTCAGGGTGAAGTTTCTTTATTTACATGACGCTATTTATAAAACGCTTTATTTAATATAACTTTTTTTTTAAATAATAAAACAACAACTGCTTCTAAAAACTTTAAACAATATTTGTTATTGCAGGTAGTTTGCCATATTTGGACACTGTGCTGTCGCCACGCACTGCTGCTGATGATAAAGATATTGCTGTGCTCGTTGAATATCCATCGCAGTGGGAAAATAGACTGCCAAGAATGCATCAGGATGGCTCATTGCTATGCCATGAGCTATGGCTTCCGTTGGAAGGCCGTTGAGCCCAGGACCACTATGTGGTGCATTATGTTGGTGCTGAATAATTGATGAAGTCATTACCCAATAATCGCCTCGCCCTGGCTCGCCTGCCTCACGCTTAATCCGACTAAAATAGTTACTTGTGGTGAGAGTGTGCCGTACTTGGTTCTGCCATGATTGTTGGTCCTTCTGATAATACGGAAAGTTCTCCATTATCCACTTTGTTATATCGCATAGCTTTAGCTTCTGTTGTGGACTTCTCTCTATTGCCATTGTGATCATTTGAGGGAATGTATAACCTGGCTTTTCCGCTGCGGGTTGCGCTGCTGCTTGTGCGCCAGTCTCATTGGAAAGTAAAGCGTCGATGGAGAAATCTGTTATTGGTGCCATGACTTTATATATTTATTTAATATTGATATTCGCGAACACGTGAAACTGATTTACTTGTACAGCTATAAAGGGCAATCTTCAAGACTGGACTGATGACTTATCGTCAAATGTTGCTCGTATTTATACCACAGAGTCACTCATATTTGACCAGCATGTTGATCTTCCATTAACGCAATTAATATATTCAAGCAGTTGCACTACGCTGCTCAAGGACTTCATAATATAAACAAATACCTTTATGTTGAAAAACTAATATAATTCACGCAAAGGGATAATGGTAGTTATGACCAGAGTTAAATCGGAACAATGCTTTTGTAACTTCATACGTTTTTGAAACTCATTAAAATATTGAAAAGCAGAAGCCTTTGCGACGGTTAATCTTTATTGGTTCTGAGCTGTAAACAAAGCCACTAACTGATTGCTTTTCTAGTAAGATTGCGCTTCTTACTATCAAAGGAGTTTTAAGGTTTAGATCAGTCTTGAGTTTTCACAGAATTGACTAATGTCGGTCACATTGTTTTGAATGATCCATCGATATTCGCATATAACGAGATGTAATAACTTTGTTTCACAAGGAATATGATCCTGGATCGATTTTGAAGCTAATTTTTGGATTTTTTTTTTTTATATCTATGTGTTCCACCTGCACTCACACATTAAAAGGTTTCAAGTTAAAAGTAAAAAAAAAAACATTACTACTTAGAAATCATATTATTAATACAAAAATAAAATAAAAATTAGTAAAGTTAAAATCAACTTTAGATTCGTAGCTTAGCAACATATCTCAAAACGGAAAGAGAAATTTAACCAAAAGACAAATACACTAATTGTGTCACCAATAAAACATGAATAAGATTAAATTAAATATATAATACGCCCAAAACTATGCACCACATTTTCTCAATCTTAGTAAATAATTTTTTGTAAGTTTTGTTTAGCTTTTCTCGAGATTACACGTGAAAATGTTAAAATTGAAAGAATTATTTATTTATGTATAGAATCTTTCTGAATTGTCACGAAAAAGCATTAAATACACGCCTTTCGCGGAGCTAAAGATTATAATCTGATATCTTCCTTCATATATAAATTCGATATAGTTTTTCAAGTTGAGGAAGGGTTTATTCTTTAGAATACACAAATTTGTATAAAATTTGTGAAAAAAATAAAAATTACTACATAGAATGGCCGCAAAAACATATTATAAATATATAAGATGAACCTGATACTTAATCCTGCCTATACATTTTTCAGTCAATTGACACCTGAAAGTATAGAGGATTCCAACACAACACACTAACTAAGCTGTTAAGAAAATAGCGGCTAAATTAGCACACTTAATTATCTTATCTAAAATCTTGTCGATATTTCAAAAAAGATTCATAAAACTCTTTTCCTCTTCAAAAAGACAATAAATTTCACAAACGAAAATGAATCGAGCTTTCGAATCAAACCATTCCATCCGTAACATTCTTAGAGTAGATGATGAAATCGAAGCTCCGCCAACACCACCAAATTCTATTGACTCAAGGTCATCACACAGCTCACCACTTCCGATTCAGAGACCAAATCATACATTTAAGGACCTAATAAAGATGGCGGTAAGGAATTGTGCTCAAGCTGCGCTCCCACTCTGTGCTATTGTGGACTGGATAACGCAAAGAAGATTCTGGCTGGCAGTGTCAGGTGCGACACACCCTGAGCACACTCAAGTGCTTTAAGAAGTGGAGTCGTCCAATAGGTTACCCGGGACGTGGAAATTACTGGGCTGTTGTTCTCCACGAGTACCCACCAGTAGTTCCCACCCTCACGTTGAGTATGTTGCTGTAGTAATAAGATATGTCGTTTGGGCATCCACAGGCAGATGGTTCCATATATTACCGAACAGAGAAAAAGATGATTAGGGTACGGGCAGTAAAGAAAGCACAGTCATCATCATCAAGAGGAGCAAGTGGTCAAGAATACACTAAAATGTTTACAAGGACCATTGGACAATTGCTAAAACATTAACAACAACATGTAATGAACACACATTATGAAGGAAAATATTAAAAGAAATATATTAATTATGCTTCAGTATAAAGTTTTAACTTTTACTTTAGGTTTCTATTTGGTATCAAGCAGAAAAAGGAACTTTCCTTGGGTGTAGGTCTGGGATGCTCTGAAACCCATGAGCCCATACTAAGCAGTCAGTGCCATGCATGTGGCCTCTGTGACTGCTGTAACCCATATGTATAAATTTTAGGTCTGTCAATCTAATTTATATCAAAATTTACAGCTTTTTGTAAAAATATATACTGTCTTCAACACACAAAATTTTTTATATTTTTATTTCCGATTTCAATTCTGGAAGTCTTATTATTAATTTTTATTATTTATAGCGCATTAAAATGAAAATAATATTTTACCACTAATTTTGTGGTCATGAGAAAAGCTATTCTTTTTATGCATGCAGTGGCTTCAGGCGCCGCTCGTAACCCTCGCCGCAAAAATGCGAAAATGCTCAGAAATCCATTACTGATTAACATTCAAAGTAAATCCGTGCTACTGCTGCTAGTGGCCTCGGCTGCCATTCCGATCCGTTATTCTCACTTCACAAACACATATATGATCTCATGTGAACAAGAGATGTATAAAAGCTGTATCCATAAAACCTGAACCCAGAAAGTTAACTTAATTTTAATTTTTAATGTCTCCTCTATAAAAATTTTCTTTACTAATATAATTCGTTTTCTTATTGCATTGTCATTAATTTTTACCTTATATTTTTCCACATTTGACTGGTAAATATAGTAATATTCGTGGATAATATAATTTTATTAGAGCAATGAGGTGTATTTGTATTATTATTATTTTCCGTTTATATTATATAAATAAATGATTAAATAAGCTAGACTTTCAGAAGCGAAATAAATTTTCAGTGTGGTAGAAGAGTGACACTGCAATAAACAAATAAATAAATAATTAAAATTAAAATAAAATTTTAGGCTTTATTTATTTTCTTCCAATGTAAGTATTCTTATATTTTAAAATTGAGCCCAGATATATATCGTTATTGGCCTTTTTCATCCCAGGTAATTTGAGGCTCGAGAGTAAGATGTAAGAACTACCGCAGGCGATTGAGTAATTGTTATTCACATAGTCTTGGGTGCAAGAATCATGGCATATATTTGAACAATCACGGCAAATGTTATGCAATACTCAGTAAAAAGTATAAAATTTTCCATCTTCTTCACGCAGATGCTTGATTGTGGGTCTTAAGTTGGCGGAACGATCAGTTGTAGGAAAGCTACATATATTATATAGCTTTCCAAGTCGAGTAATCGATCGGTTGGAGAATGCTTGAAATATACAGAAATATGCTTAATAATATTTTTGAAAATACCGCTTACATCTCGGAGAAACTATAACAAGGTGCTCCGCTTTGTCAAGGCTTTAACCATCGGCTCCTTGTAAATCGTTTTACTTCCTCTAAATGCTTTAAAGTAATGGGTTATGGTTTAAGGTTGTAAGGTGAGGTTTTAGATTTGATCCACGCGGTCGTACACAATGTGTCCCAAAAATAACCGAACTTTTTGGATATAAAATAAAATACACATTATATTATCCTTGAAAGTTATTATTTATTCAAAATAGATTCCATTTGATTCAACACAACGTTTGGAACGATCAACCAGCGCAGGCATAGATTTTTTTATGTCATTAATAGAAATGTTCTTCAGTACCCCGGTTACGGCTGCTTGAATGGCTGGGATATCAAAAATGAAAATTGAAGGTTGAATAGTCTGTACTGTCCCATGGTGACTATTTCTTGTATCATTGCAAATATGCACTGGATGTGTGGAAGCTATTTCCTCTTAAAAGATTATATTAGGTGGTCAAATATCCGCTTTTTTGTCTTTTGAATTTCGCGGCAATGTTCAAAGCGCTACAGAGCTCGTATCTGGCAACACTATACATAATTTGAAAGGTCTTGACATAACCTACAAAACAACGCTATGCATGATTAGTTTGGATATTGTGTTCAACAGTTATAGACGTGTATACACGGATTTCACTAACGCCGAAATTCGCGCTATTTCAAAGTTTTCCTTCGTTAAAAGCAAATCTGCAAGAGAAACGTTCCGTGAGATTAATGATGTTTTGGGGGATGGTACTCTATCACTTCGAGCCGCGGTGGAATGGTTTCGACAATTCAGAGCCGGTGAAAACGACACCATGGATAAGCCAGCCGGCGCAAGACCTGTGACGACAAATACCGATCAAATCATGGAATACATCGAGTTAGACCGGCATATGGCATCTCGTGACATCGCCCAGGAGATGGGAGTTAGTCACCAAACCATTTTGAACCATCTGCAGAAGGCTGGATACAAAAAAAAGTTTGATGTTTGGGTGCCGCATAATTTGACGCAAAAAAACCTTCTGGACCGAATCAACGCCTGCGATATGCTGCTGAAACGGAACGAACTCGACCCATTCTTGAAGCGGATGGTGACTGGCGACGAAAAATGGATCACATACGACAATATCAAGCGAAAACGGTCGTGGTCGAAGGCCGGTGAATCGTCCCAAACAGTGGCCAAGCCGGGATTGACGGCCAGGAAGGTTTTGCTGTGTGTTTGGTGGGATTGGAAGGGAATCATCCACTATGAGCTGCTCCCATATGGCCAGACGCTTAATTCTACCATCTACTGCGAACAACTGGACCGCTTGAAGCAGGCGATCGACCAGAAGCGTCCAGAATTGGCCAACAGGAAGGGTGTAGTGTTCCACCAGGACAACGCCAGACCACACACTTCGTTGATGACTCGTCAGAAGCTACGGGAGCTCGGATGGGAGGTTTTATCGCATCCACCATATAGCCCGGACGTAGCGCCAAGTGATTACCACCTGTTCCTGTCCATGGCGAATGCCCTTGGTGGTGTGAAGTTGAACTCAAAAGAGGCTTGTGAAAAGTGGCTGTCCGAATTCTTCGCAAATAAGGAGGGGGGCTTCTACGAGGAAGGTATTAGGAAGTTGCCGTCTAGATGGAAACAGATCATCGAACAAAACGGCGCATATTTTAACTAAATCCAATCACTGCAAAACTTTTTATAAAGCATTGAATGAAGAGCAAAAAAGCGGAAGGGAGATACTTGACAACCTTATATGACAATAGGACACCACTCCTTGCTCAATCCGCTGCCCGATGATTTGCACTTGCGCACTGGTACGGAACTGCGGTTTATCCTCGCTAAGCTAATTTCACTCGATGCAACCGAACGGAGATCTGACCAAGGAATCTAAGAATAATAACCACGGACTACAGCTAAAAATGCCTCATGAGCTTAAAACGATATAAATAATTTTGGCTGGGCTTAGTGCGTGGTATGTCTCAGAATGCAGTTCAAGAATAATTACATTTCCTGAAGCGACATTGGTTTGGCGCCAGTTATCCTTTCAATATTTCTAAATCCTACGTCCTTATTGCACATTATGACTCAAAAACAATTAAATCGACTTAAGGATTAAAATCTGTGAACATATATATCTCAACGGAAGCAATAACTTCGCGCATAGTTTAGTAAGAAAATGTTAAACGAAAACAGATTGACGCCAAAATGAAATAACAACTTCTCTTTGTAACCCAAAATAATTGAAAACTGTAGTAGTATAACCCGTTAAACAATTATGCACAAGAACAATAGATTTTTCGTGAAATATCTCTTTTCTTACCTTCAACTTGTACTGGCTCCTAATTGTTCTTCATGATCCTTTCCTAAATTAATGTTATTGAGCCATAATTAAAATCTATTTAAACGGACCCCGAGTACAGAAGAGAAAACCGTAGCAGCGTTGACTTATGTAAGTAACTATTTAATATTTTGACCTTGACGGCATCTCGCGTAGTTCACTTCAGGTCTTGCAGGCTTATGGCGAGACAGAGATTTGGTATTCCAGGAAAAATTAAGGTAGGTAAATCGCTTTGACCTTTGTTTAACCTGATTTGAATAGTTCTCGCTAAATTTATGAGGAAAAATATTAATAATTTTCAACCAAATTGAGAAAGAAAATAATGTACAATAATAACAGATTCCTTCTTCGTCGATTGACCTCATTGCTTCTCAGTGAATTTACTGCTGAAATTCGGATAACTTAAACATTCGAGCTCTTAAATAAATAAATAATAAACGAGGTTATTAGAGCTCTTTAGTCCTTTTAAGACCATTACTCTGTATCCCACAACAAAAGTCTTTTGAAAATTACACTCAAAATGGTAATCCCTTCCTCGAAATCCGCCATAAACCAAGCACTCGCTAAGTACTAGTCCAGAATAATAATTAGAAAAGTAAACACAAAAAGCTATTTGAAAATAGATAGCACTGGACTGTTGATGATATACCCTCTAGCATTTTTACCAAGTACTTTTCTGCGTCAGACAACAGCTGTTTCCACATGAATCAAACTACTGCTGCCGGTCGGGATAGAATTCGCCATACAACAAAAGCAAATTCTGACATTTTTGTCTCAATAACATAACTCACAGATGTGTTTTTCTACTGCACTGACCTTGATGCCGACGCTGAGTGCGTAACCTGTGAGAGCATACCCGGCCTTATATTGCGCTCGCTAATGAGTGAGTTGATTATATTGTCAATTATTCTTTAGTGGTTTTGCATATAAGTTTAAGCCTTAGGCTTTAAATCTATTGCCAAAGTGGAAATTTGACGGTATAAATACGACGGACCTCAAGAAAGTAATCATCACTCGTGTTTAAGATCCTGTCGATATTTCAATAAAACTTTATTAAATTCTTTTCCTCCCCAAAAAGTCAATAAATTGCGCAAACGAAAATGAATCCAGCTTTCGTATCTAAACATTCCATCCGGAACATACTTGGAGTCGATGGTGATATTGAAGCTCCGCCAACACCACCCGATTCTGTTGACTCAAGGTCGCCACACAGCTCACCACCTCCGATCCAGAGACCAAATCATACATTTAAGGACCTAATAAAGATGGCAATAAGGAATTGCCCTCAAAATGCCCTCCCACTCTGTGCGATTGTAGACTGGATTAGTCTAAACTTTCCATATTACCGGAAAGAAGATTCTGGCTGGCAGTGTCAGGTGCGACACACTCTAAGCACACTTAAGTGCTTTAAGAAGTTGGTTCGTCCAATAGGTCAACCGGGACGGGGAAATTTTTGGGCTGTGGTGCCTGATGATCACCAACCAGTAGTTCCCATTGCCGTGCCGCACGCAGACTTGTACACCGAGGTTTTGAGGAACGGAATTGCCTGTAATCATCCTCAGGCTGGGGGTGCTGTGTATTTTCCTACACCGGAGGAGGCTAGAGCATACGTAGCAGCAGTGGCGCAGCAGCAGCACGAATGGTTTCTCCACCAACAGCAACCGTAGACTCGTAACTTATTGTTAATTGTTATTAAAACTAATAGTTTCTAATTTTATTAAATATAGTATAATATTTCGTTAATTTATTTGAAAAAAATTTATATAAATTTGTTTTTAAAAATATTTAGATGAAAATACACTGTTACATAAACTAAAAAAATTAAATAACTGAGTAAAAGCAAAAATTATCTATTTTTTTAAATGAGGAGTCAAAGAGACAATTTTTTCTTCGGTTTTAAGGTTAAGTAAAGTAATTATAAATATTTCGAAACTGCCCTCGATCTGCAGCAAACACCTGCTCAGATTTACCTACCAACTGACCTACTCTGTAACGGTAATAAAATATACCAACAACAAGTTTTGTTACCGTTTCGTATTCTGAGTTCACTGTCACTCTCTTAATTTTGTTACCCGCAAAATGGGAGGCAGCAACCGATCTGCTGTTCTGTTTAGTGTTTTTAAAATGAAAAGAAAGAAAAAGCAACATGTGTAGGTACATATATTTTACGTCTGGAGTTCACTGAAGATGATGAAAAAAGTGCTAAAAGGCGATTCTTAAGAAGTTATCGAGAAAGAGATGACCTTTTTAATTTGGAAGATGGCAATTTTAATCAGTTTATTTTGTCGTCCCGGCATTTTTTCCATAATTAGGTTCAATTATTCATTTAATAAAAGGATAAACAGATAAATAGAACTTATTAGTTTTGTTGTCTTCTAATTTATTGTTAATATTTTTCTTTTAACTTCAGCAACCGGCAAATGTAATTTGACAGGGTCCAAGCAGGAGCACTGCAGCCATAGTTTTGTTTTCCAACGTATCCTGTGCGCTAGAATACGAAATTAAATTTCGGTTGTTAAAAAAAAATAATAAAATTTACTTTACCAATAACAGTGAGATTTTTTAACGTAGTTTTTATTCTACTGTACTTATTGCAACAGTGTGACTAGAGAACAACAGAGCTACTTGGTGTCCTTGACAGCATGTTGAAGTGCTCATCTGACTCTTTTGTTCCTCTTCCGTAATTTTTGGCTTTACACTGATTACTCAATGTATGGTATTATGAGGTGAAGTAGTTATGCTGTTGCAACACAACAATGCCCCCCTTGTGCGCAGGCCTAACTTGAAGAAATACAGAGCAATAGCTGGCAGGGGCTTTTTTGGCCTTTTTTTGGCAGGGGTCATGAAACTGGCGCTTAGTGCATGATAGGGCCTTTCTACGAGCACTGTTTTTTAAAGATTATCTTTGAGAAAGAGGTTGGCTTACTTCAAAATGACACTATTGGTGCAATGATTTGTTAAAAACTAAAGGAAAATATTTTAAAATGAATTAGATATATTAGATTATCAGAAAGATTATTTATATTAGAAAACATTTTTATTTACTAATGTAGACATTTTATTTTAGAAGTTCTCCTAGACCTAATAGGATGGCAGGTTTTAACCGGCGAAAAATAATGTTGTCATTTCATCACTTATATTTTTTTTTTTGTAATGAATAACCACACGAGACTATTTAGTACTCCAGTTTTCAGATTTATTTGTTTATTTTATTTTTTAATCTAGCTTGAGCATGGTCTCATCGATAATTCATATTCATTTGTTTCAGCTTATGAATTCGTTTGTAGTTGATCCAACACACTGTTGGAAAAAAAAATTAACTATTAGTCTTTGAAGTCAACGTATTTATATTTTCTTTCCGTTTATTAATTAAAAAAGAAAAAAAGAATTTCCATTGCATTTGGGGAGAAGTTTCTTTATTTACATGGCGCTATTTATATAACTCTAAATTTAATATAACTTTTTTTTAAATAACACAACAACTATTTATAAATAATTTAAACAATATTTGTTATTGCAAGTAATTTGCCATATTTGGACACTGTGCTGTCGCCACGCACTGCTGCTGATAGTAATGATATTGCTGGGCTTGTTGAATATCCATCACAGTGGGAAAATAGACTGCCAAGAACGCATCAGGATGGCTCATTGCTATGCCATGAGCTATGGCTTCCGTTGGAAGGCCGTTGTGCCCAGGACCACTATGTGGTGCATTCTGTTGGTGCTGAATAATTGATGAAGTCATTACCCAGTAATCGCCTCGCCCTGGCTCGCCTGCCTCACGCTTAATACGACGAAAATTGTTACTTGTGGTGAGAGTGTGCCGTACTTGGTTCTGCCATGATGGTTGGTCCTTCTGATAATACGGAAAGTTCTCCGTTATCCACTTTGTTATATCACATAGCTTCAGCTTCTGTTGTGGACTTCTCTCTATTGCCATTGTTATCATTTGGGGGAATGTATAACCTGGCTTCTGCGCTGCGGGTTGCGCTGCTGCTTGTGCGCCAGTCTCATTGGAAAGTAAAGCGTCGATGGAGAAATCTGTTATTGGTGCCATGGCTTTATATATTTATTTAATACTGATATTCGCGAACACGTGAAACTGTTTTACTTGTACAGCTGTAGAGGGCAATCTTGAAGACTCGACTGATGACTTATTCTCAAATGTTGCTCGTATTTATACCACAGAGTCACTCATATTTGACCAGCATGTTGATCTTCCATTAACGCAATTAATATATTCGAGCAGTTGCATACGCTGTTCAAGGACTTCATTATATAAACAAATACCTTTATGCTGAAAAACTAATATAATTCACGCAAAGGGATAATGGTAGTTATGACCAGAGTTAAATCGGGGCAATTCTTTTGTAATTTCATACGTTTTTGAAACCGATTACAATATTGAAAAGCAGAAGCCTTTGCGTCTGGGTTAATCTTTATTGCTTCTGAGCTGTAAACAAAGCCACTAACTGATTGCTTTTGTAGTAAGATTGCGCTTCTTATTATCAAAGGAGTTTAAGGGTTTAGAAAAGTCTTGAGTTTTCACAGAATTGACTAATGTCGGTCACATTGTTTTGGATGATCCCTCATTATTGGCATATAACGAGATGTAATAACTTTTTTTCCCAAGGAATATGACCTTGGATCGACCATGAAGCTGATTTTTGAAATTTTCAACTCTTCCTATTTTTCCAGGCTTCTATAACCACTAATCTGTTATATCTATGTGTTCCACCTGCACTCACACATTAAAAGGTTTCAAGTTAAAAGTAACAAAAAAACATTACTACTTAGAAATCATATTATTAAAACAAAAATAAAATAAAAATTAGTACAGCTAAAATCAACTTTAGATTTGTAGCTTAGCAACATATCACACAACGGGAAGAAAATTTTAACGAAAAGACAAATACACTAATGATGATGAAAATGTTTTCACGCAGTCGAAAAATTCCCATTCCTTTCATGATTATCTTTTTTAGTGAACATTGTGACACCAATAAGTATACTATATGTATTCGTATAACAATAAAACATGAATAAGATTAAATTAAATATATAATACGCCCAAAACTATGCACCACATTTTCTCAATCTTAGTAAATAATTTTTCGTAACTTTTGTTTAGCTTTTCTCGAGATTACACGTGAAAATGTTAAAATTTAAGGAATTATTTATTTATGTATAGAATCTTTCTGAATTGTCACGAAAAAGCGTTAAATACACGCCTTTCGCGGAGCTAAGGATTATAATCTGATATCTTCCTTCATATATAAAGTCGATATAGTTTTTTCAGTTGAGGAAAGGTTTATCCTTTAGAATACACAAAATTTTATAAAATTTGTGAAAAAAATAAAAATTACTACATAGAATGGCCGCAAAAACAAATTATAAATATATAAGATGAACCTGATACTTAATCCTGCCTATACATTTTTCAGTCAATTAACACCTGAAAGTATAGAAAGTTTAGAGGATTCCAACACAACACAATAACTAAGCTTTTAAGAAAATAGCGGCTAAGTTAGCGCACTTAATTATCCTATCTAAAATCTTGTCGATATCTCAAAAAAGATTCATAAAACTCTTTTCCTCTTCAAAAAGACAATAAATTTCACAAACAAAAATGAATCGAGCTTTGGAGTCGAATCATTAAATCTGCAACATAATTGACATCACCACCAAATTCTATTGACACAAGGTCGCCTTACAGCTCACCACCTCCGTTTCAGCGACCTAATTATACATTTAAGGACCTAATAAAGATGGCTGTAAGGAATTGTGCTCAGATTGCACTCCCACAGTTGCTATTGTGGACTGGATAACGCAAAACTTTCCTACCTTAACTACCGCTAAGAAGATTCTGGCTGGCAGTGTCACCCTAAGCACATTCAAGTGCTTTAAAAAGTTGGGTCGTATAAAAATAATTAATTACATTTTTTTTAATTTTAACTTTTTGATTTAACTTTCATTGATTTTGATCGGGGCTTATTACATTACATTCACCGGTCGGTAAGAGCTTTTGAATGCGACATTCGTCATACTACCAAATAAATAGTTCTATAATTTAAAAGGCCCTCTAGGAATGCCTTCTGCATTTCAGTTTCTTAAAAAGTGCTTACTTTTGACAAACATAGAAAATAGTGACCAAATTAAAAGAAAATAATAGAGGAAACAACTTTTCTATTATATCAGTTAATTTTTATAGTAGTACAAATAAAAAAGCATATTTGGCTCAAGCGTAAGTTCATAACATACAGTCCCTAGAAACCAAATCCAAATCAGGAACAAAATTTTACATGTCTAACACTGATTGCGATCAAATTAACCTCAACAAGACTTAATAACCCCTTCGGTTTCAAAACAGCTTTCGATAATAGGAGAATGGGCCACACCTTCAACTGAACTTCGTATCTCTGCAAAAGTTATTCGGCAGATACTGAGTAACACAAATCCGGAAGAACCTCTTTGAAACGTTCGGTACCAAACGGACTATCTATCGTGTGACATATTTAACCTGATGCTGGAAATAACACGACCTGGGGAGCCTAGTAATACGTTTAAGGCTTTATTAACAATGGATGTAAGTAATTTTTAAGCCTAAAAAGGCACCGCCGCTATTTGATTATTATTTGTTTAAAAATTGGTTTGGTTAAACACACAAAGTTATCTATTAGAACAACAATTTTATATATGACTTCCTGCACAAATATGAAAATCTCTTAAGATAGAGAGTAACCCTTTCTGGAACTTCATTTGCTATGTTGGTCTTGTTGTAGCCACAGCAGTGGTAGATTTCCGGTATAAAAACCCGACTGACTGTCCACAACTTTTGTATTATTTTTCTTTTCTCTTACGACGAGCATGCCTTACCTTGATTAACTTGATTGTAGATCAGTGTTGGATATATAGGAATTTGATCCGAGCTTAGCTTTGGCTTACGGGGGTTATATGTTTACTTTTGCTGCTAAAGGATATTCTATATTAACTATTTTTTTTCGGCAAGACATATGGACTATAACTGAGCGCTCAAAAACCAGGGTTATAAAAAGCGATAAAACACATATTAAGTAATCGGACTAAGAGGAAAAAATTATTTTAGGGATCACATAAAATTTTACCTGCAGTTAAAACATTTGAATAATCACTAAAAAAAATTATCAGATCTTTTACATTGTCTAAAAGTTTAAATTAAATTTGGTCTCTATTTTTCACACAATTAAAAGCTGACCTTACAGGTAAAAGCAAATGCCTCTGAAAATAGTTCAAACCTTTTAATTATTATTTTACTGAAAATCAAAGTTCAGTTTGATGAAAAATTTAATCACTTAGTATACTTTAGGGCGTTATATGTATAATACTTAAGGTTTGGTTATTTTGGTGTACTATGAGAAGAGCGGGAGGGCAAAAAGCCATCAAAAAATATTATTTAAATTCGATTAGTAAGGAAAAAATGTAAAAAAAATTCACAGAATTTAAGGAATATATAAAACAATAATTCAACTGTGAAGTTATTCTAAGCTTTCCATGGAAACAAACTGCACAAGAACAGACTGTTTGCAAGCTTTATAAGCCAATGATGACCCTAACTGATGCACGAGGTCTCAGTGCACTTCGCTTCGAGCGCTTTGTTTCATTATCCATCGTCATCCTCATGCCGCTAGTGTGAGTAGGTTATGAAATTGCAGTTGAGCAAAGTTAAGATATGAACATGTATTGCTTAGAGTTTAAATAAGAGCGGCTTTAGAGAATAAGTCATCAGTTCATTTGCAGACTTTGTTGTGCTCACAGGACAACTTTTATCCATTTATTCTTCATAAAACCAAAAAATCTTTATTTACGTTTCGCAAACAACCAATCAGCTCGTAATAATCGCTAAATGTCATCCCAAAGCTCCACGTTACCTACATCCAACCAACGACCTAAATATGCATTTAAAGACTTAATAAGGATGGCAATAAACAGTAGTCCCCGAAAGGCGCTCTCGACGAGTGACATCATAGAGTGGATAAGTGAAAATTTTCCGTATTACCGAACAGAATGTGTTGACTGGCATGGTCGAGTGCGACGTAACTTAAGCTCAAACATGGCCTTTGTTGGATTAGAACGTCCAAGGGATCTCCCAGGACTTGGAAAAATATGGGTATTGGCCCCTAAAGGTTACAGGCTAGGTGATCCCATTACCATACCCCATGTTGAGTTTGTCGGCAAAGCCAAGAGGTATGACTTTCCTTCTAAAAATCCATCGGACGGTGCTGCAGCAGCACATATGAATCCATATTTCGAACCCAGTCATTCAGCTGATGCCTCAAGGTCACTACAGAGTTCAACGTCATCAACTCTGATTCAGACGTCTAAATATGATTTTAGAGATGAAATAAAGTTGGCAATAAACAGTAGTCCTCAAAAGGTGCTGTCGACAAGTGAAATTATAGTTTGGATAAGTGAAAATTTTCCGTTTTACCAAAAAGATGTGCAAGACTGGCAAAACGTAGTACGAGAAACTTTAAGTAGGAAATTTTATAAAGTCGAAAGTCCAGTGGAGGACAAGGGACTTAAGGAAATATGGGCAGAGTTTCCTACGCTGGAAGAGCTCTACAGATTACAAGAAGATATGGCCGCGCAGAGCATCGTAAAAGCAAATGAGCCGATAGTGGATGCTGCTCTACACCAGCCGCCTGAAAGCATGCTCTCCCAACAGCAGCAAAACGAGCCATAGACGACGAGACGTTGGAAAATGGAAAATAAGAATTATTTTGAATACTGCTTACATTGAAGGGTTCAAAAAATGTTAATATGTTTCAATAAGTAACGTTAGTTTTGTGTCAAAATAAAGATAAATTACAGAATAGAAGCAAACAAATATTTCTTTTGGGTTTCTTAAAAACGTGATGCTAACACATCGCCATCAGTGCTGCTGCCATCTGATCCCCACTTTTTCGAACAACTTTGCGATAGATTATTGTAAGAAGGGTGAGGATGATACTGAAGTGTATTTTCCCATACCGCAGGAAGCTAGATCACTCATAGCAGCAGTTTTGTAGCGGCAGCACGGTTGGTTCCCCTACAAATAACAACAAAAGGAATATCAAAGTTGATGTGTAATTTTAATATTGAAAATTTGGTTAGGTCTTATTTATTTTTTTAAAGCATTTTAAAATAAAAATAATGGAATTTTAAAAAATTTGTATTTTGGTTTAACTTGAAACGAGTAATCAAGAGGCAGTAATAACCTTTTAGACTAGTAAACTAATGGACATATGATGTTGTCAAATATCTCCCTTCCCTCCCTTTTTTGCTCTTCACTCAATGCTTTATAAAAAGTGTTACAGTGATCGGATTTAGTTGAAATATGCGCCGTTTTGTTCGATGATCTGTTTCCTATATATTCGATGGTATGCAATCTACTTAATCGTAGCATTTTATATAATAATCCACCTTCAAAAGTAATTAGTTGGTGAGAATAAATAGAACATCTACTGCTCTTCCAAAAATACTCTCTCAGAAAGCTAAGCCCTACTAAGCTTTATTTTGTTCAATTTTATTCTCATCAGTCATCGCTTACACACTAATTCTAGAATGTAGTTGAGAAGCAGTGATTTCTTTACGTTACAAATATTTGGCAGGATAACTGTTACATTTCCTCTGCACATATCGCACATTTCGACTCACAAATTATTGTAGTTTTGTAACATTGTCATATGGACATGCATCACATGAAGATTTTGTGACGCATTTAGTGCGCATCTGACCCTTCTGCATCGCTTCTTTTTAATTTATGTTATCATTATTAGCTTCTTAGTTAAAGTAATTATTGAAAATACTGACGGTTTTGAAACAAAAATTGCTTTGGAAGTCGAGTTCGGTCTACACTGGCTTCAAAATTTCACAGTTTGGCAATTGTTTTTTTTAAATTAAAGTGAAATATTTTAAAACGAAAATTAAATTAAATTTTTGTAAAAAAAAATAAGTTAAATTGATTAATTGAAAATGAAATTAATCCAAATTAAATGAATTGATGATAAATAAAATCGGAAAATTAATAAAACTAAGAAAAATATACTCAGAAGTGAGAAAAAACTGAGTTTAGATTTTAATTGATTTCATTCATGTCGTCGGTAGCAAGCGCCCTGAGAATATAGAATCACCGTTAAAAAGCACTCAGGAATAAATACCTAGTTTTTGTACCTTCTCGATCTTTTATATTGTTTGTGCAGTTGGGTTTGGCTTCGTTTTTTATTTATATATTATTTTTATTTATTTTTGGTATCTGATAATTTTATTACAATTTTGTTGTAATTAATATCAATCTGTTCAATTTTTTCTTTATTATTTTATTAAAAAATTTTGCATTAATTTAATTTTAATATTCATTTAATTAAATAGTTCTACATTTTATTTGTGCCTGTACTGTTTTAACTTAATTTAACTGAATCTAATTTAATTAATCTTTTTTTGTTATTTTATTGGAGTTTAGTTTGAGGTTATTTCAGTTTATTTAAGGTTAATTAGTACAATTTTTGGACTAGCACTGTCTTTAAAATAATTTCTTTGGGAAAGAAGATGACTTTCTTCAAATTGGCGTAATTTTTGCGATGATTAGTTTAAAATGAAAGCGAAATTTTTTAAAACGAAAATTATTTAAAATTTTTAGTATCAAATATAAAACCAAGAAAACTTGATCAAATAAAATAAAAGAGAAAGAAATATTAATACTGATGTAAGAAAAACACTATAAATCATTAATCTATACATCTTAATTTAGAGCCTTTTTTATAGAAAAAGTTTTTAGTCGACGAAAATAAGGTTTTTTTTAATCGCATAAATTTTATTTTTATATATAAGACCTATCCGTCCGCGGCAGCTGAGTGGTTAGCATTGCGTACTGACATCTGGAAGGCTTGTGTTCATTTCCCAGTGTCACCAACAACCAAAAGTTATCGAAATTTAATTTAAATAAAAAATTAAGTTAATTTCATATTTGCGTTCGTCCCTCGGCAGAGAATTTTCACCCCTCCGAGAGTACTTCGGACATGAAATAAAGCTCCTCATAATAACCAATCGGCAGTGCGAGGGCTTCTTATAATAATCAGCAGGTCCCTCCAACTGTTGGAAAACCGTCAATACGTAAAACCACAAATTGGATGAGGAGCTCGACCGAAAAATCGCTTTAACGGTTGCAAAGCGCCAATTATTATTATTATCATGTAAGACCCAAATCTATCAAACTATCCAGTTTTCAAAATTCTCATTTAATTCGGAACGATATAGTATCGTAGGTCAAATGCAAGGAAAGGTCGGATATTTGGTCCCACAAAAAATTTAAAAAAAAAAGAAATCATTACTGGCTGTGTGTAAAAGGTGGTGCAGTTTGCTGGAGATTTAGTGGGGGAAAAAAGTAAAGCGGAATAAAGTACTTGTGCTGTATAACATTTTGCGCAAACAAAATCATATTTCATTATTATTGTCCTATGCTCAATGCACCCATACTGAAGTAGGATTTAAAGCCGGTGTCAGATAATGCACTAGGTGAATGGAGAGAACACTTTTTTATCGTGCTGATTCTCAGATAAAGAGAAACCTATGAAGATGGTGAACCTAAGCCCCTTCCAGTCCAAAGGAATATCGACACTCACTACCTCTTCGTCTGTTTTAAATAAGCCCTCGGTAAGATACAAAGGATTTAATTATACGGTAATATTTCTGGATTTCAGTAAGCTGACGTTGTGCTTCCACAGCAGCTCGGTCAGGTTCAGGCAGTACCTCTTCGAGCTGTTCGATTCCAAACGAGTATTTAGAAAAGATTCACTCTTCCTGTTCTGTTTTTCCAATTTACTGCAAATAAAAACAACAAGAAATACTGTGCTAGATCCTCCCATAAGAGCGCCAAATTGCTTAGGTGTGCCCCGCATATTATTATCCGTGGCTTCAACAAGAGCAGTCAGTTCTGCTTTCAAGAGCAAAAGCTGAAAGATTTCCTATATCGAAACGAATAGTCAGCCATTTCTCATTCTGGCTCCAGCCAACTATTGTGAATCACAGCTTGGAACCTGCATTAACACCAAAATCAATACCAGTCTTGCAATCCGACGCAGAATCACTTTTTCCGAGGTCTACAAGTCCCTTGTCACTCCTGTCCAGCTGCAAGTTGCAAATGTGTTGTCGTTGGCAATATGCGATAAGTCGGATTTACTAATTTGCGAGCATAGCGCATTCTAATGGATTTATTGCCCCTCGCGCATTAGAAACGGTAAATGCCGAAAACGAAGGAACGATGAGCGGCGCGTTTGATATGGTGACATGCGGCAACTAGTTTGAAAATAATGAAGCAGAGGTAGTGGAAGACCTTCATACCCTTGTAAATATATTATTAAAAGGACAAAAAATCCGAGAATATGTCATCTACGCGCATACGAAAATACAAATGAAGCCATTCATAGCCCTGACCCAATGCTACACATTTTTCAGATATAACCATTTTGCACAACATTGCAAAGAAAAAACTTTCAAATGCAAAAAATGTTTCCAACCACATCTCGAAGCGGAACCCTGCCAAAAAATTGTCTGCGTAAACTGCAAATGCGAACATGCCCCAACGGCCAAGGACTGCCCGGCAAGAGTAAAGGCATACATCATTAAAAGAACGATGACTTTGGAAAATAGCACATATAGGGAAGCCCAAAAGAAAATCACAAACATATAAGAAAACCGATTCAAGCTGCTTGAAAAACTACGAGAGCCAATTCCCTCATTTACCCCAGACCAAAACTAATAGCAAAAACCAGAACGAAACAGCCGCCTACATACACAAAATACTGCCATATTCACATGTAACGTGAAACAACAACAACAACAACAACAACAACAGAGGCAGAGAAGAAATAAATGCAGCCAACAACATGAAAGAGTGGAAAGAGGCCATAAAAGCAGTCAACACAAGGGAAATAAAAATTGAATCCCAAAGTAAAGCGATTTCTTCGCTCCTAGCAACAAACATCAACGAGAGATTAAACCACAACCCAATAGAGCTATTTAATGATATACGAGTCGCACTCAACCAACTAAACAACACATTTGACAGCATATTAATAAACAACACCCCGAATGACAGAAGCGATAAAAAATACTACAATTTAATATACAGAGTCTAAAAAAACAAGGAAACGAAGAACCAATAACATAGACACCAGCTTAAGCAGCTACAACTACGCATACTCCAATAGACAAGACGGCTTCGGAGGAGTAGGAATATATATTAAAAAAATATATAAAGTTCTCAATCTTTGAAATTCAGAGTGGCATCGAAAACATAGGAATTACCACACTTAACCTGAAAAGAAACATCAACGCAATTAGTCTTTACTGTCCACCCAACACACAAACACAGATATTTAAAACAGAAATAGACAAAATATTCTTACACGCCAGAAAGCAGAACAACATAACCCTTATCGGAGGCGACCTAAACACCAAAGCAGCATCGTGGGATAAACATTCAACTAACGCTAGAGGCATTATCCTAGAAAATATTGCGCAGGACATTGGATTCAACTGTCTCAACGACGCCTCTCCTACCTTCACAACAAGTAATTCTACCTCAGAAACAAAAACCCGAAAAAATCAAAATGAATCAAGTACTCAAAGACGTCAGCAGCATTAATATAGGAAACAACTTAAATGAATTCAATAACAAAAATAAAAATATTACATAGAAAAACACAATCCAAATCAAAGACACAAACAAATGTGTACCAAAACGCTGGTGGTCAGACGAAACTTACAAATTATTCAGATTAAGGAACACAGCAAGAAAAAAATTTAATCAATATAAAACACCACAAAACAGTGAATTACATAGAATATCGGAAAAAAAACTTGCAGGAACATATTAAAAATAAAAAAAAAATATAAATTTCATCCAAGTAGTCAACGAGCTCTCACCACCAAACAACGCAAAAGAAATGTGGGCAAAAATTAAAAATTAAAAAAAATATAAATGCGAGAAGGCTTCCAACAACACCTGAAGCAACCAAGAGCAAACTAAATACCTCGAACATATTACCAGAACAACCGCCCATCAGCTACCCACAACCAACGACAATCCAAACAGAGCAAATGAAACTAGAAGAAATGAACTCAAACAACTTCCTGCACTTTCTACACGCTAGGAATATGAATTCAGCCAAGGGACCGGATCTAATATCTTACCGTATATTAACACAATTGAACGACATAGAAAAACAAAACCTGTTCATAATGCTTAAAAACGTCCAGAAGCATGGAGGGAAATAAAAATTATCCCGATTCCCAAAAAAGGTTGTGACATCACAAAAATCCTATACTAAAGACCGATCTGCTTACTCTCAGCTTTACACAAAACAATAGAAGAATTACTCAAAATTCACATTGACAACCAATTACAACAACACAGCTTTTTGCCAAATAGATCGAATGATTTTCGGAAAAACCACTCAACCGCACATTGTATAAATGACTTAATCAATACTGTTGCCCTCCACAAAGAGGAAAAACTCCAAGTAATGGCAGGCTGTATTGATATAGAATCATCATACGAGTCAGTAGGTGTCAATACGCTGGAAAAAATACTTATGATGACCCCAATCAACAAGAAAGTAACAAACTGGATAATATACTTATATATGGTGAAGAGTCACTCGTGACTAGTTGAGCTTAGTCTGCGATGATGCTGTTTAGGAACAATTAAGTTTAATCAATGGACATTGTTTTGGCGACAGTTATCCTTTCGTTATATCTAAATCCTACTATTTTCCTTATGTACTTATTGCACATTATGATTCGAAAACAATTGGATTGACTTGAGGATTAAAAATTGTGAACAAATATATCTCAACGGAAGCAATAACTTCGCTCATAGTTTAGTAATAAAATGTTAAACGAAAATAGATTGAGGCCAAATTGAAATAACAACTTTTCTTTGTAACCCAAAATAATTGAAAACTGTAGTAGTTAACCCGTTAAACAATTATTCCAAAGAACAATAGATTTTTCCTGAAATATTACTTTTATTACCTTCAACTTGCACTGGCTCCTCATTGCCCTTCATGATCCTTTACTAAATTAATATTTAATGAGCCATAATTAAAATATGTTTAAACGGACCCCGAGTACAGAACAGAAAACCGTAGCAGCGCTGACTTATGTAAGTATCTATTTAATATTTTGACCTTCACGGCATCTCGCGTAGTTCACTTCGGATCTTGCAGGCTTAGGGCGAGACAGAAATTAAGCATTCCAGGAAAAATTAAGATAGGTAAAATGCTTGTACCTTTGTTTAACGTGATTTGAATAGTTCTCGCTCATTTTATGAGGAAAAATAACAATAATTTTCAACCAAATTGAGAGAGAAAATAATGTACAATAATAACAGATACCTTCTTCCTCGATTGACCTCATTGCTTCTCAGTAAATTCACCGCTGAATTTTTGATAATTAAAGCATTCGAGCTCTTAAATAAATAAATAATAAACGAGGTTATTAGAGCTCCTTTAGTCCTTTTAAGACCATTACTCTGTATCCCACCACAAAAGTCTTTCCAAATTCGCACTCAAAATGGTAATCCTTTCCTCGAAATCCGCCATAAACCAAGCACTCGCTAAGTACTAGTCCGGAAGAATAATTAGAAAAGTAAACACAAAAAGCTATTTGAAAATAGATAGCACTGAGCTATTGATGAAATACTCTCTAGCATTGTTACCAAGTACTTTTCTGCCTCAGACAACATCTGTTTCCACATAAATCAAACTACTGCTGGCGGTCGGGATAGGATTCGCCATACAACAAAAACAAACCCTGAAACGTTTGTCTCAATAACATAACTCACAGATGTGTTGTTCTACTGCACTGACCTGGAGAACAATGCAGAGTTCCTAACCTGTGAGAGCATACCCGGCCTTATATTGCGCTCGCTAATGAGTGAGTTGATTATATTGTCAATTATTCTTTTATTATGTCATTGGTCCTTGGTGGATTTGCAAATAAGTTTGAGCCTCAGGCTTTGGATATTTGACGGTATAAATACGACAGACTTCAAGAAAGTAATCATCACTCGTGTTTAAGTTCCTGTCGATATTTTAATAAAACTTTATATAATTCTTTTCCTCTTGCGCAAACGAAAATGAATCCAGCTTTCGTATCTAAACATTCCATCCGGAACATACTTGGAGTCGATGGTGATATTGAAGCTCCGCCAACACCACCCGATTCTGTTGACTCAAGGTCGCCACACAGCTCACCACCTCCGATCCAGAGACCAAATTATACATTTAAGGACCTAGTAAAGATGGCAATAACGAGTTGCCCTCAAAATGCACTCCCACTCTGTGCGATTGTGGACTGGATTAGTCTAAACTTTCCATACTACCGAAGAGAAGATTCTGGCTGGCAGTGCCAGGTGCGACACACTCTAAGCACGCTCAAGTGCTTTAAGAAGCTGGTTCGTCCAATAGGTCAACCGGGACGGGGAAATTTTTGGGCTGTGGTGCCTGATGATCACCAACCAGTAGTTCCCATTGCCGTGCCGCACGCAGACTTGTACACCGAGGTTTTGAGGAACGGAATTGCCTGTAATCATCCTCAGGCTGGGGGTGCTGTGTATTTTCCTACACCGGAGGAGGCTAGAGCATACGTAGCAGCAGTGGCGCAGCAGCAGCACGAATGGTTTCTCCACCAACAGCAACCGTAGACTCGTAACTTATTGTTAATTGTTATTAAAACTAATAGTTTCTAATTTTATTAAATATAGTATAATATTTCGTTAATTTATTTGAAAAAAATTTATATAAATTTGTTTTTAAAAATATTTAGATGAAAATACACTGTTACATAAACTAAAAAAATTAAATAACTGAGTAAAAGCAAAAATTATCTATTTTTTTAAATGAGGAGTCAAAGAGACAATTTTTTCTTCGGTTTTAAGGTTAAGTAAAGTAATTATAAATATTTCGAAACTGCCCTCGATCTGCAGCAAACGCCTGCTCAGATTTACCTACCAACTGACCTACTCTGTAACGGTAATAAAATATACCAACAACAAGTTTTGTTACCGTTTCGTATTCTGAGTTCACTGTCACTCTCTTAATTTTGTTACCCGCAAAATGGGAGGCAGCAACCGATCTGCTGTTCTGTTTAGTGTTTTTAAAATGAAAAGAAAGAAAAAGCAACATGTGTAGGTACATATATTTTACGTCTGGAGTTCACTGGAAATTATGAAAAAAGTGCTGAAAGGCGATTCTTAAAAAGTAATCGAGAAAAAGATGACCCTTTTAATTTGGAAGATGGCGATTTTAATCATTTTTTTTGTCGTCCTGGCATATTTTCCATAATTAGGTTCAATTATTCATTTAATAAAAGGATAAACAGATAAATAGAACTTATTAGTTTTGTTGTCTTCCAATTTATTCTTAATATTCTTCTTTTATCTTCAGCAAGTGGCAAATGTAATTTCACATGGTCCAAGCAAAAGCACTGCAGCCATAGTCTTGTCTCGCAGCGTAACCTGTGCGCTAGAATACGAAGTTAAATTTGGTAGTTAAAAAAAAAAAATAACAAAATTTACATAACCAATAATCGTGACCCTTTTTAACGAAGTTGTTATTCTACTGTACTTATTACAACAGTGTGACTAGAGAACAACAGAGCTACTTGGTGTCCTTGACAGCATGTTGAAGTGCTCATCTGACTCTTCTGTGCTGCTTCTGTAATTTTTGGTTTTACACTGATTACTCAATGTATGGTATTATGAGGTCAAGCACTAATTCTATTGCAACACAACAATACCGCACTTGTGCGCAGGCGTGGGTTGTGGAAAAACAGAAAGAGAAAGTAATGGGCTAGCATTGGTTCTCTTTTGTCCGCATTTACGCATGACACCGCCATTAAATGCGTGCACTGTTTGGGAATTAGTGTCTCTGAGAAAGAGGTTGGCTTGCCTCAAAATGGCATTATTTGGAGGAATGATTTGTTTAAAACTAATGTGAAACTTTTTAAAACGGAAATAGTTTAATATTTTTAGTATAAAAGATGAGGAGCAAATTTGATTTGATAAAAGAAAATTAAATAATAAAGTATACTTTGAGGCATGGAAGGTTATTGGTATAAGAAAAACATTCTACGACCATTTTTTCAAAGAACCAATCGAGAGGCAGGCGAAAGAGAAGGTTCTCAATTCATCAGGTATATGTTTTTATTTTGTATAACCATGCAAACCTTTGTCCGTCTTCTTCTAGTCTGTGATAATTATTTGTTTTTTTGCAAAGGAAAAATAGAACTTGAATTTAGTCCCTTCGTTAGCTGACAAAAGTTTTAACCAGGGGGTAGAAAAGGGCGGATATTTCTTTGGTTTCTATGTAGAATTCTGTTTAACCTGTTATCTGTGTCTTATGTTGTAGTTGATCCAAGAGAAAGTTGGAAAAAATTTAGTCTTTATTCATTGACTCCAACGCATAATCCCTCATAACCGAGCATCGCACTTAGTCCGATTTGGATAATTTTTCGAAGGTGTCCAAACCACTTAAATTGACAAATAAGAAAACCGAAATTCCTGCCGTCAGTGAAAAGAAATAACTGTAGTATACTTATTAAGGCACACATATAAAAAATTAAAAATTCGTTTACTAAGATTAAATAACCAAAAATATTTTTTTTTGCTTTTTGGTTTTTCGGCTGTTTAAATGTTTTCTTTTTAAGCCTTTATTAGATAAGAAATTCAAGTTAACTATGGGTAATGTCTTAAAGGGATTCCTTTGGAATTATTTTTCTTTCGGATTTTCAGGTGATAAGTAGACTCGTTTATAAAACTTTAAAGTCTTCGCGTATAATATTTAAATTTTCTTTCCGTTTATTAATTAAAAAAAAGAATTTCCATTATTTTCAGGGTGAAGTTTCTTTATTTACATGACGCTATTTATAAAACGCTTTATTTAATATAATTTTTTTTTTAAATAATAACACAACAACTGCTTACAAATAATTTAAACAATATTTGTTATTGCAGGTAGTTTGCCATATTTGGACACTGTGCTGTCGCCATGCACTGCTGCTGATAATAATTGTTGTGCTCGTTGAATATCCATCGCAGTTGGAAAATAGACTGCCAAGAACGCATCAGGATGGCTCATTGCTATGCCATGAGCTATGGCTTCCGTTGGAAGGCCGTTGAGTCCAGGACCACTATGTGGTGCATTCTGTTGGTGCTGAATAATTGATGAACTCATTGCCCAGTAATCGCCTCGCCCTGGCTCGCCTGCCTCACGCTTAATACGACTAAAATAGTTACTTGTGGTGAGAGTGTGCCGTACTTGGTTCTGCCATGATGGTTGGTCCTTCTGATAATACGGAAAGTTCTCCATTATCCACCTTGTTATATCACATAGCTTTAGCTTCTGTTGTTGACTTCTCTCTATTGCCATTGTGATCATTTGGGGGAATGTATATCCTGGCTTTTCCGCTGCGGGTTGCGCTGCTGCTTGTGCGCCAGTCTCATTGGAAAGTAAAGCGTCGATGGAGAAATCTGTTATTGGTGCCATGACTGTTTATATTTATTTAATATTGATATTCGCGAACACGTGAAACTGATTTATTTATACAGCTGTAGAGGGCAATCTTCAAGACTCGACTGATGACTTATCCTCAAATGTTGCTCGTATTTATACCACAGAGTCACTCATATTTGACCAGCATGTTGATCTTCCATTAGCGCAATTAATATATTCAAGCAGTTGCATACGCTGTTCAAGGACTTCATTATATAAACAAATACCTTTATGCTGAAAAACTAATATAATTCACGCAAAGGGATAATGATAGTTATGACCAGAGTTAAATTGGAACAATTCTTTTGCAATTTCAAACGTTTTTGAAACCCATTACAATATTGAAAAGCAGAGGTCTTTGCGTATGGGTTAATCTTTATTGCTTCTGAGCTGTAAACAAAGCCACTAACTGATTGCTTCTGTAGCGAGATTGCGTTTCTTATCATCAAAGGAGTTTCGTGGTTTAGAACAGTCTTGAGTTTTCATAGAATTGACTAATGTCAGTCATATTGTTTTGGATAATCCATCGCTATTGGCATATAACGATTTGTAATAACTTTGTTTCACAAGGAATATGACCTTGGATGCTCCTTGAAGCTGATTTTTGAATTTTTCAACTAATCCGTTATATCTATGTGTTCCACCTGCACTCCCACATAAAAAGGTTTCAAGTTAAAAGTAACAAAAAAACATTACTACTTAGAAATCATATTATTAATACAAAAATTAAATAATAATTGGTAAAGTTAAAATCAACTTTATATTCGTAGCTTAGCAACATATCACAAAACGGGAAGAGATATTTAACCAAAAGACAAATACACTAATTGTGTCACCAATAAAACATGAATAAGATTAAATTAAATATATAATACGCCCAAAACTATGCACCACATTTTCTCAATCTTAGTAAATAATTTTTTATAACTTTTGTTTAGCTTTGCTCGAGATTACACGTGAAAATGTCTAAATTTAAGGAATTATTTATTTATGTATAGAATCTTTCTGAATTGTCACGAAAAAGCATTAAATACACGCCTTTCGCGGAGACAAGGATTATAATCTGATATCTTCCTTCATATATAAAGTCGATATAGTTTTTTCAGTTGAGGAAAGGTTTATCCTTTAGAATACACAACTTATAAAATTTGTGAAAAAAATAAAAACTACTACAAAGAATGGCCGCAAAAACAAATTATAAATATATAAGATGAACCTGATACTTAATCCTGCCTATACATTTTTCAGTCAATTGACAGCTGAAAGTATAGAAAGTTTAGAGGATTCCAACGCAACACACTAACTAAGCTGTTAAGAAAATAGCGGCTAAGTTAGCACACTTAATTATCTTAACTAAAATCTTGTCGATATTTCAAGAAAGATTCATAAAACTCTTTTCCTCTTCAAAAATACAATAAATTTCACAAACGAAAATGAATCCAGCTTTCGAATCAAACCATTCCATTCGTAACATTCTTAGAGTAGATGATGAAATCGAAGCTCCGCCAACACCACCAAATTCTATTGACTCAAAGTCATCACACAGCTCACCACCTCCGTTTCAGAGACCAAATTATACATTTAAGGACCTAATAAAGATGGCAGTAAGGAATTGCACTCAAAATGCACTCCCACTCTGTGCTATTGTGGACTGGATAACGCAAAGAAGATTCTGGCTGGCTGTGTCAGGTGCGACACACCCTAAGCACACTCAAGTGCTTTAAGAAGTTGGGTCGTCCAATAGGTTACCCGGGACGTGGAAATTACTGGGCTGTTGTTCTCCACGAGTACCCACCAGTAGTTCCCACCCTCACGTTGAGTATGTTGCTGAAGTAATCAGATATGTCGTTTGGGCATCCACAGGCTCCATATATTACCGAACAGAGAAAAAGATGATTAGGGTACAGGCAGTAAAGAAAGCACAGTCATCATCAAGAGAAGTAAGTGGTCAAGAATACACTAAAATTTTGACAAGGACCATTATACAATTGTTACAAGATTAATAACAACATGTAATAAAACGCACACAAAGAAGGAAAATATAAACAAAAATATATTAATTATGCTTCAGTATAAAGTTTTAACTTTTACTTTAGGTTTCTATTTGGTATCAAGCGGAAAAAGGAACTTTCCTTGAGTGTAGGTATGGGATGCCATAAAACCCATGAGCCCATACTCAGCAGTCAGTGCCATGCATGTGGCCTCTGTGTTTGCTGTAACATATATGAATAAATTTTAGGTCTGTCAATCTAATTTATATCAAAATGTACAGCTTTTTTTAAAAATATATACTGTCTTCAACACACAAACTTTTTATCTTTTTATATCCGATTTCAATTCTTAAATTCTTATTATTAATTTTTATTATTTATAGCGCATTAAAATGAAAATAATATTTTACCACTAATTTTGTGGTCATGACAAAAGCTATTCTTTTTATGCATGCAGTGGCTTCAGGCGCACATCATAACCCCCGCCCCAAAAATGCGAAGTTGCTCAGAAATCCACTCATGAGCTTAAAACGATATAAATAATTTTGGCTTGGTTTAGTGCGTGATATGTCTCAGAATGCTGTTTAAGAATAATTACATTTACTGAAGCGACATTGGTTTGGCGCCAGATATCCTTTCAATATTTCTAAATCCTACGTCCTTATTGCACATTATAACTCGAAAACAATTAAATCGACTTAAGGATTTAAATCTCTGAACATATATATCTCAACGGAAGCAATAATTTAGCTCATAGTTTAGTAAGAAAATGTTAAACGACAATAGTTTGGGGCCAAAATGAAATAACAACTTCTCTTTGTAACCCAAAACAATTGAAAACTGTAGAAGTATAAACCGTTAAACAATTAGCAAAAGGACAATAAATTTTTCTTGAAATATTACTTTTATTACCTTCAACTTGTTCGGGTTCCTCATTGCCCTTCATGATCCTTTACTAAATTAATATTTAATGAGCCATAATTAAAATATGTTTAAACGGACCCCGAGTACAGAAGAGAAAAGCGTAGCAGCGTTGACTTATGTAAGTATCTATTTAATATTTTGACCTTGACGGCATCTCGCGTAGTTCACTTCAGATCTCTCCAACTCTTAAAGAAATAAATAATAAACGAGGTCATTAGAGCTGCTTTAGTCCTTTTGAACCCATTACTCTGTATCCCACAACAAAAGTCTTTCGAAATTCGCACTCAAAATGGTAATCCTTTCCTCGAAACCCGCCATAAACCAAGCGCTCGCTAATTACTAGTCCAGAATAATAATTAGAAAAGTAAACACAAAAAGCTATTTGAAAATAGATAGCACTGGACTGTTTATGAAATACTCTCTAGCATTGTTACCAAGTACTTTTCTGCCTCAGACAACATCTGTTTCCACATGAATCAAACTACTGCTGGCGGTCGGGATAGGATTCGCCATACAACAAAAACAAACCCTGAAACGTTTGTCTCAATAACATAACTCACAGATGTGTTGTTCTACTGCACTGACCTTGAGGCCGATGCAGAGTGCGTAACCTGTGAGAGCATACTCGGTCTTATATTGCGCTCGCTAATGAGTGAGTAGATTCTATTGTCAATTATTCTGTTATTATGTCATTGGACTTTAGTTGTTTTGCATATAAGTTTGAGCCTTAGGCTTTAAATTTATTGCCAAAGTGGATATTTGACGGTATAAATACGACGGACTTCAAGAAAGTAATCATTACTCGTGTTTAAGTTCCTGTCGATATTTCAATAAAACTTTATTAAAATCTTTTCCTCCTCAAAAAGCCAATAAATTGCGTAAACGAAAATGAATCCAGCTTTCGAATCTAAACATTCCATCCGGAACATACTTGGAGTCGATGGTGATATTGAAGCTCCGCCAACACCACCCGATTCTGTTGACTCAAGGTCGCCACACAGCTCACCTCCTCCGATCCAGAGACCAAATTATACATTTAAGGACCTAGTAAAGATGGCAATAAGGAATTGCCCTCAAAATGCACTCCCACTCTGTGCGATTGTGGACTGGATTAGTCTAAACTTTCCATACTACCGGAAAGAAGATTCTGGCTGGCAGTGTCAGGTGCGACACACTCTAAGCACACTCAAGTGCTTTAAGAAGTTGGTTCGTCCAATAGGTCAACCGGGGCGTGGAAATTTTTGGGCTGTGGTGCCTGATGATCACCAACCAGTAGTTCCCATTGCCGTGCCACACGCAGACTTGTACACCGAAGTTTTGAGGAACGGTATTGCCTGTAATCATCCTCAGGCTGAGGGCGCTGTGTATTTTCCCACACCGGAGGAGGCTAGAGCATACGTAGCAGCAGTAGCGCAGCAGCAGCACGAATGGTTTCTCCACCAACAGCAACCATAGAATCATAACTTATTGTTAATTGTTATTAAAACTAATAGTTTCTAATTATATTAAATATAGTATAATATTTCGTTAGTTTATTTAAAAAAAATAGATTATAATTTCCTGTTATACGTACTTACATGTTATGAAAGAAATATACCGTTATATAAATTAAAAAAAAATTAATTAATAAAATGAAAATTAATCGTTTTTTAAATAAATATTCAAATAGACATTTTTTTTTCGTTGGGTAGATGTTCACCGGTCTTAAGTTTAATTGGAGACATATACACACATTTCTAAAATTCGAATTATTAACTAAGTTCACTGCATATATAGTAAGAGTTAGCTTTCCTTCTCTTAAAGCGCCTTGAAGATTCTGTAAGTTTTGGTTTTGCACGTTCATAAGTCTTGTGCGATTTGTGATATTATGAGGTCAAGTACTAATTCTATTACAACGCAAGAGCACCGCACTTGTGGACAGGCGTAGCTTGCAGAACAAAAAAGAGAGGAAGCACCGTCTGGGAGGGACACGTTTTTGTCCGTATTTTAGCCATGAAACTGGCGCTAAGTGCGTGGTAGAGTCTTTCTGCAAGCACCGTTTTTAAAACATTATCTTTGAGAAAGAGGTTGGCTTATTTCAAAATGACACTATTGGTGCAATAATTTGTTAAAAACTAAAGTAAAATATTTGAAAGAGAATTAGATAGATTAGATTATCAGAAAAATTATTTATATTAGGAAATATTTTTATTTACTTATGTAGACATTTTATTTTAGAAGTTCTCCTAGACCTAATAGGATGGCAGATGGGAAAAATATTTAACCGGCGAAAAATAATGTTGTCATTTCATCACTTATATTTTTTTTTTGTAATGAATAACCACACGAGACTATTTAGTACTCCAGTTTTCAGATTTATTTGTTTATTTTTTTTTTTAATATAGCTTGAGCATGGTCTAATCGATAATTCATATTCATTTGTTTCAACTTATAAATTCGTTTGTAGTTGATCCAACACGATGTTCGAAAAAAAATTAACCATTAGTCTTTGAAGTCAACGTATAATCTCTCACAACCCATTATCACATAGTCCGTTTGGGATAATTTCATAGATAGATATACTTCGAACCATGGTCCCACATAAAATTTAAAGTTTATAAATATGAATTATTACCGTCAGAGTGAAAGATATGTATAGTTTTCTGTAAAATAAACAATATAAAAAATTTAAGTATTTTGTATTGAGTAGTTAGGCTTAGAAAAAATTATACGTTTACTTAAGTATACAACAAAAGTTTAAGATTTTACTTATTAAGGTTAAATAACTAAGCATATTTTCTTGCCGTTCCTTTTTCTTGTTAACATTTTTTCTTTTTCAGCTTTCATTTGATAAGAATTTTAAGTAGAGTATGGGTGATGTCTTAAAGGAGTTCCCTTGGAATCCTTTTTCTTTCGGATTTTCAGGTGATAAGAAGACTCATTTAAGAAACAAAAAAGTCTTCTCATTTAATATATATTTTTTCTTTCCGTTTATTAATTTAAAAGAAAAAGAAATTCCATTAAAATTGGGGAGAAGTTTCTTTATTTACATGACGCTATTTATATAACTCTAAATTTAATTCAACTTTTTTTAAATAATAACACAACAACTATTTATAAATACTTTAAACAATATTTGTTATTGTAGGTAACTCGTCATATTTGGACACTGTGCAGTCGCCACGCACTGCTGCTGATAGTAGTGATATTGCTGAGCTCGTTGAATATCCATCGCAGTTGGAAAATACACTGCCAAGAACGCATCAGGATGGCTCATTGCTATGCCATGAGCTATGGCTTCCGTTGGAAGGCCGTTGAGCCCAGGACCACTATGTGGTGCATTCTGTTGGTGCTGAATAATTGATGAACTCATTACCCAATAATCGCCTCGCCCTGGCTCGCCTGCCTCACGCTTAATACGACGAAAATAGTTACTTGTGGTGAGAGTGTGCCGTACTTGGTTCTGCCATGATGGTTGGTCCTTCTGATAATACGGAAAGTTCTCCGTTATCCACTTTGTTATATCACATAGCTTTAGCTTCTGTTGTGGACTTCTCTCTATTGCCATTGTGATCATTTGGGGGAATGTATATCCTGGCTTTTGCGCTGCGGGTTGCGCTGCTGCTTGTGCGCCAGTCTCATTGGAAAGTAAAGCGTCGATGGAGAAATCTGTTATTGGTGCCATGACTTTATATATTTATTTAATATTGATATTCGCGAACACGTGAAACTGATTTACTTGTACAGCTGTAGAGGGCAATCTTAGAGATTCGACTGATGACTTATTCTCAAATGTTGCTCGTATTTATACCACAGAGTCACTCATATTTGACCAGCATGTTGATTTTCCATTAACGCAATTAATATATTCAAGCAGTTGCAATACGCTGTTCAAGGACTTCATAATATAAACAAATACCTTTATGCTGAAAAACTAATATAATTCACGCAAAGGGATAATGGTAGTTATGACCATAGTTAAATCGGAACAATGCTTTTGTAATTTCATACGTTTTTGAAACTCATTAAAATATTGAAAAGCAGAAGCCTTTGCGTCTGGTTTAATCTTTATTGCTTCTGAGCTGTAAACAAAGCAACCAACTGATTGTTTTTGTAGTGAGATTGCTCTTCTTATTATCAAACGAGTTTCAAGGTTTGGGATTAGCTAATGTCGTGAAACCCAGGAACATTATGTGGTGGTACATTTAGTTGGTGCAGATGAATTGATGAGCTGCACACTATTATATATACAGTTAAATGTAATGAATTAAAAAGAATAAAAAAATAAATATTATTGTATAAACTAAGTAAATAATATAATATTAATATTTAAAAATAAAACAGGTTAAATGAAATAAAATAGAGTAAAATAATATAAAATAAAATAAAATAAATTAAAATAATATAAAATAAAATAAAAAATAAGAAAATAAAAAAAAATTAAAATGAAATAAAATAAAAATAATAAAATAAAATAAAATAAAATAAAATAAAATAAAATTTAATAAAATAATATAAAATGAAATAAAATAAAACAAATTAAACTTAACTAAAAGTAAAAAAAATAAGATTAAGCTAATTAATAACATTAAAAAACACAAAAACTTAAATAAATTAAAATGAAAAAATTATGGATAAAAAAAAAAAAATAAAAATAAAATAAAAAAGTAAACTAAAAATAAAAGTAAAATAAAACATAATTAATAATATAAAAAATTTCAGACCATCTATATATATTGGAAAAAGTGAAAAAATTGCAACAATAGTTTAGAACGGTAGAAGCTATTTCGAAAACCACCACATTTCCTCATCAGACTTCTTTTTCGAGACTTCTTTGTTCGATCAGGATTCGAACTTTTTTTAATTAAAATGAATCAAGAAATTAAAATTTAGCTAAAAATGAATTTCAATTATAAAAAAGAATTTGCATTAAACTAAAGGAAAACAAATGAGTATATAAATATATCCACATAACTAAGTTGATATAATTCGGGTTTGTAATAGCGCTTGCTTACTTGTACATTTTTGTTATAGCATGAATTTTGAATAGTGAAGTATACTTCCGAAATAAATAAAAAAATCGAAATTGGTATTATTGCCCTTGTATTTAGGACATTTTTTTACTACCTCTTTTCAATACAAGCAATTATTATTAAATTTTTACACACTTTTATTTCTCAAAAACTTTGCCAATCCAAAATTTCAATATTTATGAGCAAAGATAATTTACACAAAATACATATCGTTATATATTTACATAAACCCAGACATACATATAGATATCGTGTGACAAATATGCGCATTTTTTAAAGTAAACAATATCAACAAATAACTCATGAAAATATTTCATTTACAAAATATTGCCAAAATTCTAATTCTTCTATGAAAGAATAAATGTCAATGGCGGTAGTGTAAAAACTTGTAAATTGCATAAAAAACATAAATAAATAAATTGAATATTAGTGCAAACATGATGATAAAAAATATGAATATGTAAATATGCGCGCAACATTCCGCCAATAGATTGTACCGATACCAATATTTTCAACAATGATTTACTATTTATTATGACTTTGTTAGCGACAAGCGTTGTTGTATGCAGACTTGCTCAAATATTTCTAATTTCACACATATTTTTTGAATGCCTGCATATGTACAGTATCCATGCTGTGATAAAATCAAGTATTTACACTGCAAAAAAAAAAAAGAACAAAAAAATAAATAAATAAAGAAACAAATAAAAAATTAAAATTAAAAAAAGGAATCAAAAATAAAGAAATGTGCCAATTCATGTTAAAGGCCAGCGACGGCAAAATAATGCTGCAACTATCCATTTTACATACATAAACGTATATGACAGCCACAACACCCGCCAGGAAGAGGGATATGCATACACGATTTATCGAGCGACGAAATGTTGTCAGCTGCCAATGCGTTTGCATACTTTTCAACAAATTTATAATTTTAGATGGGTAGTTGCAGCATAACATTTTTGCACTGACAAGCTCGCTGGAGTATCTATACACCTACATGCATAACTTTAGGCGCTGAAACTTTAATCATGATTTTCTCATTGCCCCGAGTTGCGCATTTTATACGTCGGCAACATATCTCTTACTTTATATGTTAACTCAGAATCTACTCAGTGCTTCTTCTTATGAATATTAAAAGATAGTCGGTCATTATCATCTCTTCCCGTCAAAACTATCTTTGACGATCAAGTGAAGGTGCCAAGGTACCAATAACCACATCGATGAATATTGTATATATCACCTCTCACCAACGCCGAGAGAGAGATAGAGAGAAAAAAGAGGGAGATAGAGTGAGAGAGAAAGAGATTGATAGTGATGAAGCACTCGATGGACTTAAAAAGTGAGTGCAACTATACAACAATGCAATCTGTGCTACCTGTCCCAGTTCGAAAAAGACCGAAAAGTCTCAGTGTAGTCTTAACTTTCATTGTTTGCTGGCTACAAATGGTAGACTCTTTTAGAATTTACTCAAACTCCTAGCTTTGAGCAGATTCGCATAATTAAATATTCTACTTTTTGACTCTCTTTACTTTATAAATATCTTATGATACAAAAATATGTAAATCATCTAGGCGCTATTCTGGATATGGATATGGATCACTTTAAGGATGTCTTAGTTTACATTGCCTAGCTGCTGCACCTTACGTAGACCTGCTGAAGATACAACATTATTTCACATTTAATTTTGAATCTTCTTCTGGTCGTCGGAACAGTCTGTATTTATTATTGGCTGCGGTCACTCATTAGGCCTAAAAGTATCCTGTAATCTTTTCAAACCCGAGCACGCAAAAGAGCATAGAGCAGCTTTGGTAGATGATCATTTATCTCGTTCTCTGATATCTAAAGACTCTTATCGAGACTGTTTCTTTCCTTCCGATACAAATTTTGATTAAGATCTCGTTCGGTTCCGATGCCTAGAAAAAAAACACAAAATGCTTGATCAATACCTGGTCTGTGTGGAGTCTTTGTCTCTGCGGACGGAATCCATCCTTGGGCAGTGTGGAATCTTTGTCTCTGTGGACGGAATGATGGATGGAAAACTAATCCAAAACATCTCAGCATGGTTTCTAATCTTCAGAAATTTATAAAAAAAACCCTAAAGTACTTAATGCCAATATAGAGGATATAGTGAGGGAAGAGTTACCTTCTCTACTGACGCCACGCTATTATGAAGACGTTGGAGGAAGCAATAGATTATGAGGGACCCTCTGTGTGTCAACTTTTATCTTTGAGGGTAAAATAATTGAGAATACTTCAGAGCGAGAATACTTAAGAAGAAGAAGAACTTAAAGCATTTCAGACTTATCATTAGCCTTAACGACTGTTCGTATACCAAATATGCAAGGATAATATTTTCTATGATTTATTTACATAACTTAAACAAAGTTACCATGGAATATTTGGTATGTTGCTAAGAGATTTTGCACTTCCTGCTTGCTATCGATTAAATAATTTTACATAACGGCAAGTAAGGCAGTCGCACAAGAGCTCTTCAAGCAAATTGAAAAATGAAATTCTTTTTGAAAAAATGTCTACGCAAAAAACCGGAGGAGATGAAACCAGGCGCCATACTGGACGCCGTCATTTCGCAATCCTCACCAATGGCCAACAAATGTCTACTCTACAAGCTGGCCGACTACATGCGCGGCGGTGACCTCATCGACGCACTGAACACTGGCGGCCTGGTCGCCGTGGAACAACTGATACGCGAGCAGTTCGGCATATTTATGTATAACGATGGCAAGGGACAGGTGATTAATCGTGCCGAGTTTTTACGCTGGAAATATCGCGATCACACTGAAGTTACTATACCGATTGAGGCTTCGCTCTCACGTCACGATCCGCTGGGCAAGTGGGAGGATCATAAAGCCTGTTGGCAAATGCAATTTCGTGGGGCACTCGGTGAGAGTTTACTGCACGTGCTCATCATTTGCGATTCGAAAATACACACAAAGCTAGCGCGGGTACTGATACGAGTCTTTCCGAATCTGGCACAAGATGTGATGGAGGGTGAGGAGTATTTGGGTGCTAGTGCGTTGCATTTGGCGATTGCTTATAGCAATAATGAGCTTGTGGCCGATTTGATTGAAGCAGGCGCTGATATAAATCAGCGTGCTATTGGCAGTTTCTTTCTGCCGCGTGACCAGCAACGTCGAAATCCAGCCAAGTCGACGGACTATGAAGGATTGGCGTATCTGGGCGAGTATCCGTTGGCATGGGCGGCATGTTGCGCCAATGAAAGTGTGTACAATTTGCTGGTGGACTGTGGTGCAGACCCAGATGCACAAGACTCGTTTGGTAATATGATACTGCATATGGTGGTGGTGTGCGATAAATTGGTGAGTGTGTTCACTATGATCCGATAAGGCAGGTTATTTAGGCAGCTTCATTTTCTCTAGGATATGTTCGGTTATGCTCTTCGCCATCCAAAAACGCCAGCCAAAAATGGTATCGCCAACCACAGTGGACTCACACCGCTGACACTTTCTTGCAAACTGGGACGCGCTGAAGTTTTTCGTGAGATGTTGGAGCTTTCCGCACGTGAGTTTTGGCGTTACAGCAACATCACCTGCTCGGGTTATCCGCTCAACGCTTTAGATACTTTGCTGCCAGATGGACGCACAAGTAATTAGTTACTTAATTTTAATTTACACGAGCGCCCGAGTATTTTCTTATTTTTTTTTATTGACTCAGATTGGAACTCGGCGCTGTTTATCATCTTGAATGGCACCAAAGAGGAACATTTGGATATGTTGGACGGCGGCATCATACAACGTTTACTGGAAGAGAAATGGAAAACCTTTGCTCAAAATCAATTCCTCAAACGTCTACTGATCCTAGTCATACACTTGGTTTTCCTCTCCATCTCAGTTTATATGCGTCCCGCGCGTGTTGCAGACGATGATGATGAAGATGAGATAGATGCGTCTTCGAAAGACACTAAAGCTCTTGAGCTTGCCACGGAATTGGATGAAGATGAGTACGATGTGCAGACTATTGTGCGCTACTGCGCAGAGTTTGGCACTATAGTGGGCGTATTGAGTTACGTTATCTTTCAGCAGGGAGATGAGATCAAAAATCAAGGTTTGCCAGCGTTCTTAAAGCAGTTGGTAGGTTCGACTATTTAAGTTTTAAAGAATTATCTTTAGCTTAATTCTCTTTTCATACCTTCAGACTCACGCTCCAGCCAAAGCTATCTTTCTAGTCTCTAATCTGCTAATTCTCGCCTGTATACCCTGTCGACTCATGGGTGATACGGACGCCGAGGAGGCTATACTCATCTTTGCCGTGCCTGGCAGTTGGTTTCTGCTAATGTTTTTTGCCGGGTGAGTTGTTTTGTCGTCTGATTTTTTAATATCATTCTATATTTCTCTTCCGCTTTAATATTTTTCCGTTGTTCAGCGCCATACGTCTGACGGGTCCTTTCGTTACTATGATATACTCCATGATTACAGGCGATATGTTCACGTTTGGCATTATTTATTGTATCGTACTATGCGGCTTCTCGCAAGCTTTCTACTTTCTCTACAAGGGGCATCCACAAATACAGTCGACTATGTTCAATACCTTTCCCAGTACTTGGATGGCTTTGTTTCAAACCACACTCGGAGACTATAATGTAAGTTAAAAAATGTTTCAAACGAAGAACTCTGAGGAGTCTTGGCAGTGAAGATTTACAATTTTTAAAGAGATTAGGTAAAATTTGCATGTACATGCCACCCGGGCATTTGTTGGACAAAGAGTCGCTCCTAAAGTTACTTATGGACTGCTTCGAGAGCTTCTAAAATGGTATCCCACTTAAATGGAATCATATATTTGGAATCAAGCATTAGGAGTATTGAGACACTGGTGTGATGTTCCATGTTGACGTGCAGGAAACATTCAAAGAAATATTTAGTTCAGAGTATTGAGTTTTTAAACTCATTGGCTTTCTCTCAAGCTTCCCTTGTTTTGTTATATTACCTCTAACTCGCCTAGGTATTTGTTGTTCTCTACGATCGAAACTTGTATCCGCTATTCAACTTCGAGTAAGGCTAACATTCTACTTACGAGGGAATTAATAAGAGTTCGTTAAGGTGACCAGAAAAAAATGCTTTTTTTATTCATTCGTAATTTTTATCCTTTTTTATATTCTCTCCATAATGGCCATTGATTTCAATGCATTTCTTAATACTATAGATCCAATTCTAAAGACCTTTTCTTTTAAATTTTTTTTTAATTTTCGGAAAAACGACAAAACACAAGGTGCTATATCCAGGGGTGTGGGATGTCGCATTCCCATGATGTAAGAAGTAGTGCGCAAATTATTTTACTTCCTGTTTTCCAACCTTCTTCTAGTGGAATAACAGCTAGGATATTAGATCAGCTGAAGTTAGAACTAAGATCATTATTTTTGCTGCAAATTTTTGTTATTTATATTTTACGGATGAGTTTCTGGATCGTATTTATAGAACTAAGATTCGTCGCTAATAGCAACTATACGCACAACTTGGCATTTTCGAATTCGTTTAGGAAAAATTGAGTAAAATGTACTCGAGGACTTATTTAAATTTATGGTTCCCATCAAGCAGATTTCTTCATGTATCCGACATGATTATTTTATATTCTTGTATCAATTTTGGACTAGATCAGAGCTACAGCGATGTCATCAGTGTAAGATTTTGGTCAGCCTTTCTTGGAGCTCGTCCGTTATGGAAAAATGTCTGGTCTGGAATCACTTAGAAGTAGTCTCTAAATAAGTGCTATCATTCCATAAGTCATTTGGCATTCACTGAATATTCGTATAGGCTGTAAATTACGCCAGAACTGGAAGAGAACCACATGGCGAATTTCTGTTTGCGTGGGTGGTGGAAACTCGTCTGACCTAGCCTCAGCTGTCTTTCGTTTTCTCGTCTCCATTTTGGCCGATCGTTCGAAAATTTAAAGAAAGGACTATAAAAGTAATTGCAAAGAATTTGGTGATTTTTGATTTAAGAAAAACAAAGTGAAAGTCACCAACTGACAGACCTTTAATTAATCCCCTCGTAGCTTTGGAGATGCTAGTCTTTTGTTACGAATGGGCATAGTCCTGAGGCCTAATAAATATCAGTAAATAACAATTGGCCAAGAGATTTGATAACTTTTCAGAAGTTCCTTCGGAGAAGTCTTCCAATGAACTTTTTAATTTTATCCGGAGTTCCACCTAATTTAGGGGAAAAGCGAATGGGCGAATCTACTACTGGATTATGATGACACGAGCTGCTTGTTTGAATTCTACTTGATATGACTAATTTTGCAAAAATTCTTCAAACCGGCAAATCAAAGTATTTTGGAAGCATCAGGAAATTGATACAGAAATATAGCAGATATCGTTGCAAATGACCGAGTTTAAGGAGACTGAGCATTGTTGGGTATGTCTATAAGTTTCAGTTCGGTTTGTTACTTTATATCCTCTCACTAGCCAGTTTTCGTTCGAGTCTGAGTTAAGGCTCGGAAATAGATCTATTGTCAAACATTTTTCGCATTAAAATATTCTCAAAAAGGGGGAAAATACAATAGTTTGTCAGCGCAACCTTTCCAGAGAGAGAGTAAGACTTTATTAGCTTTAACTACCTTGTAAAGACGAGTCGCTTCGATATGTCATTCCTTTTATTTTCTGAGCAGATAGAAAGTAGGTACACAGCGCCTGCTAATGTCGAAAAAAAGTACCTCATATATTTTGACGATGCAATACTTATTCTCTATTTGTCTCGTGCTCTCAGTGCCGGCTTTTCTACTTGTCTATTCAGTAGTGAACTGGAATCTACGATTAGAAAATTTCTCACATTTTCGCTCGATGTCTGTTGGATATACCCTGTAGATCCATTACTTACACTTCTTCTTTAGCACATCTAATTTTGATTCATTACTTCTGGCCTTAAATGTTTTATTACATGCATTTAAATATAACTTTTTTGGTAAAATCCTTTTAGCAGGCAACCCTACTCAAAAATACTTAAGGCTCTACATCTAGACTTTTGCTTATAAATTTTATAGAAATTTATTTATGGACAGGTGGCAATACTCTAAATAAAAATCGTTCTTTTTTCATCTTTTATATTATTTTCATTCAATTTTATGCGGTACATTTTTCAAATTTTGGCAACTCTATAACTTTTCATTTTATTTTACCCCAACCGGCTACAATAAGAGGCGGCTTATTAAATGGGCAATCGACCTAAAGAAATTTCTTTACTAAAAACTGAAAATATTTCCTACTCTTTTACTCTCCATCTCTTCTCATCGTTTCAGTATCCCGACTTGAACAATACAACATATCCGAACCTCTCGAAGACTGTATTCGTTATATTTATGATTTTCGTGCCGATTTTATTGTTGAACATGTTAATCGCTATGATGGGCAACACCTACGCGCAAGTTATCGAAAGATCGGAGAAAGAGTGGATGAAACAGGTAAGGAAATTGTTTGCGTAAAATAGTCACACTTTCGTACACTTCCCTTGTAAACTCGTAATAGTGGGCAAAGATCGTGGTGACCTTGGAACGCGCTGTACCACAAGCTGATGCTAAGAACTATCTAGAGGCCTATTCAATACCACTCGGACCAATAGATGACTCCGGATATGAGGTGCGCGGTGTAATGGTTATCAAGAGCAAGGCGAAGACCAGAGCTAAACAGCGTAAGGGTGCAGTTTCTAATTGGAAGGTGAGTCCTAGCTTGGGATATAATATTTGCTGATCTCATATTCTCACTCCTTTCAGCGCGTTGGTCGGGTCACATTGAATGCGTTGAAAAAGCGCGGCATGACCGGCGAGCAAATGCGTCGTTTAATGTGGGGACGTGCATCCATATCAAGTCCGATTAAGATTACAAAAAAGAAGTTGAAAGATCCCTACAATTTGAATCCACAAAATGATCTCACAAGCGCTATGGATATGTTGACCTTTGCCAATGATCCCGCAGCAAGCGCTGGTCTACAACTACGCTCCTCACTCATGGACTCCGGTGCCGAGGGCAAAGCAGCAAAAGTGCAGGAGGAAAATCAGCAACCCGCACCAGATCCACTGCGCGACTTAATTTTCCTCGCCGATCGTCGTCCGGAAATGCATGATCCTCAGTATTTTGTTGGCCTACAGCAATTGGCAAATCAGGCATTGGATTTGGTAGAACAAACAATGGGCATCCATCCACCACCCACTCCCGCAACTGATGCTTTACTTCTATCAGCAGCTGCTGCTACAACAACTATCGGTGCAGTGACAATGCAAACAGCCACAACTGTTGGTACGCTCCAAGATGCTTCTTTACTAACTACAATTACAATGGGGAATACAACAACAACAACAACAACAACGACAACCACTACGAGCTCCGCTGCAGCTGCAGCTGTAGCCGCACCGAGCGCAGATTTAATTACCCCATTGGGCGCGAATTTAACAACGCTCTTTCAAGATAACAAAGATGTCGTGGATCCGCAAAAGCTTCAAGAATTCTTGAAAATGTTGGCCGAGATCGAGACCGAGGAGAGTGATGGCGGTGGTAGACCAATTTTGGGCAAGTTATCGCTTTCTCGACGTACAAAGAGCGCTCTTTCGAAGGCTCAGATTAAGAAAGATACGGTCGGTGGTAGTCCTGATAAATTGATCCCATCGGTTTGGTCACATAATTTACCGCAACCAGATGAGGAACCGGTAAGTTAATTTCAGTAAGATGTTCATAATGATGTAGTATAAACAGATGTAGTGTCAAATCTATTTTAAGGGCTTGGTAAATCAATGTTGAACCCAAAACCGATAGTTAGGGCCCTCCGCCAAGCAGTGAACTTCTACCCTTGGTGTCCTTTTGTAAGAGCCCTGTGCTGGCTTATAACCGTGCTCGTCTTGAACCAAAATTCTATTCTTGAAAGGCTCAGTGAACAAAAGCTAATTAACCCGCCCACACGGTGGTGATCAATACTACGGGCGCCAAAGTTCAGAGCACTCTATTGTTCCTAAGATCTTAGATATCGATCTATTAATCAATATTTCTTGCAGCTCAAAGGAAAGATTAAGATTTAGTTGATATAGAAAAGTCATAAAAATGCTGTCATACGATCTCTATTCCACTAGGTTGGGACTACTTATGGCTCTAGTAAAGGGGCTTATCAGCATACTGTGCTCTTATTATAGGGTCCTTAGAGCTTACCTCGTCCCAAATCAACACCCAAGCTCTTTTTAAATGACATATAACCAAATACCGCCAGCTTCTTGGTGAAGATTCCTTAGGGTGCTGTCAACGATAATCTCTTATTTATTCGCTCCCGGTCGAGTTAAACAGCTTCTGCCCTACAAAACGGCAGGAGTGAGGTTCAAAAGCACTTACACACTTTTGCATTTTCACCTAACAATTACTTAAGTTTCAATATCCTTTTCACTTATTCAATATTGCAAAATCACTTCCACATCTCCCCACCCCATCTTGCCCCCGTTCAATACTTTTAGGAATTCAACTTCGAGGCTGCACTAGCCGAGGAACACACACTCACCATTGAACAGGAGGCTGAGGTGGAGACCGAAACCGGCAACGAGCGTGAGGATAGCGAAGATTGTCCGACGGTAGAGGAGGTGCATGCAACAATGAAACAATTCCACCTGCGTAAGCGGCAATATCAACAGGACGACGCAGCACGACGAGCGAAAAGTGCACGCATCAAGCGCAAAAATAGGTCAGCGATAATGAAATATTTTTGATGTTGCTGTTTTCCTTTGTTTTTTTTTTTCATTTTAAATTTTTGTGCATTTGTGGCAACGAAATTCATTTCAATTTCTTTTGCAGAATTTCACCGGAACAATCCCATGAGTGTGATGACGGCAGCAGCGGCGGCGGCGGAGGTAAGTCAACACACCCACGCGGCGCTTCAGCGCCAGGCCGTAAGCACACGGTGAGCGAACGCTTGTCGCCGCCGGATCCTCTGGAGCCGTGGAGTACGCGCGAATTGCAAAATATCAACAAAATATTAGCGCGCAAGTGAAAGGGAAATTTTGCTGAGCGCAATCGAAATATGTATAATGAAATATATGTACATGCGCATAGACACACAAACATGCTAGTGCATGCATATGTGTGTACGCATGTCGAAATATTTGCTTGTGTGTGCTTGTATTTTCTATATTGTTCAAAAATAGAAAATTGCTCAAAAACCGTTACGTCGTTTATTTATGGCTTTGCGCACAGTTTAATTTTTGGTTTGGAAAATTTGCCAACACCAGAGGTGTTATTATTTCTGTTGACGTGGAAATTGCAATTTTTGCAAAAAATTAAACAAATAAAAAAAAAAAATAAAAATATTAATAAAAAATTGTGTGAAATTTCTGAACACGCAGTCAAAAAGTAGAAATACAATATGTACGAGTATATTTATGTGCATACACAAACATACTCATGTATATATAAAGGGTGACTTTTTAGCTATTATCTTTTTGCCAACACTGGTTTCAACAGCTGACGCAGGTTTCATTTTTAATCATTGTTTTCAATCACTATCAAACCCCTTCAGTTCGGTCTGTAATTTAACCATAAATCGTCTTACAAGCGAACAACGCTTGCAAATTATTGAGTTTTATTATCAAACTGCGTGCTTTTTTAGAAAGTTAAAAAAAAGGAATTTCGTTCCGCGACGAAGCTCATTTTTGGCTTCATGGGTGCGTAAATAAGCAGGATTGTCGATTTTGGTGTGAAGATCAGCCAGAAACATTGCCAGCGCTACCAATGCATCCAGAAAAAGTCATAGTTTGGTGCGATTTGTAGACTGGTGGCATCTTTGGATCGTACTTCTTCAATGATGATGCAAATCGTAACTTAACTGTGAATGGTGAGCGCTACCGTGAGATGATATCAAACTTTTTTCTGGCCCAAAATGCAAGAGCTTGTCTTGCATGACTTGTGGTTCCAACAAGACGGTGCCACAGCGTAGCAGTAGACTTATTGAGAGGCGAGTTCGGTGAACATTTTAATTTACGTTCGGAACAGGTCAATTGGTCGCCTAGATCGTGCGTTTTAGCGCCTCAAACTATGTTAAATCTGCTGTCTATACAGACAATTCCACTTCACTTGACGCATTGGAGGACAACATTGAAGCATTTATTCGTGAGATACCGGCCGAATCGGACATAGCGGATGGATCTTTTGTGGCGCAGTCACGGCCAACATATGCTTGAAATAATCTTCACAAAATTAATTATGTGGACCGTACTATCGATTCAAATAAAGAATTCATAAATTTTTCTGAATTTCGTGTGCTTTGTTTTTTGAAAACTTTCTCTTTTCGCTCTTAAAAAATCACCCTTTACATATGTTGGGCAAAAATAAAAGCAACAACTTTTAGGTCTTCACTGTAGTTTTTGTCGAACTTTGTTGTTTTTGCATGTACACACACATTAATACCCGCTTATACCCAGCGATACTAAGTAGAAGTTTCAATAACAACATTGATATAACGGTAATGCTTTCCAAAGAGAAGAACAATAAGACCGCAAATTAAATGCTGAAATAATAAAAGAAGATTAATAAAAGAATAAAAGCAGAGAGCGATGAAATCGCCAATAAGCCAATAAAAATCCTTGTTTGGTGTGGCCTGATACTAAGAGTAATACTATTTTTTTAAATTCTAATAATCAACATATTAACCCCGGAAGGTAATTGTTGTTTTTGTAACCTTAACAAATTGTACTAAAAACAAATCAACACGCTTAACTACAACGATTTTGTGCTATTAAGTTTATCAACTCTCGAAATAATATAAAATCCAGGCTGGATCCAGGTTATCGTATTGGTTGTAGAATCTCGAAATATTAACGTTAAATTAGTTGTCAAAATAAATAAAACCTTTCTTTTCTTACATTCTTTTCTACCAGTTTTCTTTGTATAACCTAACAATATTATTCAATCAATAAAATTGATTAATTCGGCGGCCGCTGTAGCCGAGTGGTTAGCATTGCGTACTGCCATTCGGAAGGCTCGAGCTCAAATTCCCGTGCGACCAACACCCAAAAGTTATGGAAAATTAATTTAAATAAAAAATTAAGTTAAATTTTCTAATTGCGGTCGTCCCTCGGCAGGGAACGCCCACCCCACTGAGTGTATTTCGGACATGAAAAAAGGTTCCTCATATAAAACCCATCAGCCGTTCGGATGCGGCTTAGTATTGTATAAACGGTAGGTCTCTGCATTTGTTGGTAAAGCATCAATACGCAAAACCACAGATTGGAGGAGGAGCTCGGCCGAAAACCACTTATGCGGTTACAAAGATGATGATTTCTTCATTCGTAGCTTAGCAGACGTACCAGCAGCGCATCATTTATGTCCACATCATATGAGTGTAGGTTGAGTCCTCGGGTGTACTTACTTCATTTATCATCACAGTAGATATTGTTTCGTCTGGTTCAACGCCTGCCGAATCATCTGGATCGTACTTTTAGCTACTCTGCGCCAAAAAATTTAAAAGTTTAATTCAACGGTATATAATTTAACCCTTAACAGCCTGATATTTTGCTTTGCGCTGAATGAAATGTATTTTATTTATCTTGCGGTTCTAAGCAAAAATTTTTCTGAAATTTTGCTGAAAAGTAACACTAAGCTAAAGTAGCAGCAAAAACCCCTGTTGGGCAACCAGACTTGCAAATTATGAAAATAAGTTTTGTATGAAAGGCCTTTTGTTTTATTATTCACATCTTATTAAGTATGGAATTATTGATAAAGGCGTTTAAATTTGATGAAATACAGCGTACCATGTTTTTTCAGTCGAAAAACATAAATGTATTCTACATTTCTACCACCGGACCTTTGTACGAGTTATGCATTTCGGGTTCTTGCAAATGGGTTTATCTTCCGATATGTAATTTGCGGCAGCGGACCAGACATAGAGCGATTTCGTCAAGCAGTATGCCACTTTCGATACGAATTATTGCAACTTTTTTTTGGCTCTGTTTGATCAATGGCAGAGTGATGTCTTTTAGATAAAATCCAAGCATTGATAATTACCATGTCATAAGTGAGATTTCATAAGCGATTTGTCCATCAGATCAACACCACCCATGTATTTATTGTACTCATGAAGGATATTGGAGCAACGAATGTTTTCTAGTCATGTTTTCATGTTGGCGTTAAGCAAAAAATATAATTCAATTAGATCACCCGCCTCACTTGTTAAAGAAACAAACAAACTGACAGTTCTTTAAACACCTCATATCTACCTACAGATGCCCGGGAATAAACACCTTTGAGCAGCTTGAAATCGAATTTAGAGATACGATAACGTAGCATAGTATGCCTGCCACTAAATAATACTTACTCGACCGGAATTATCATTGGGAAATATATTATTGTATATAAAGCAAAAGTGAAATATTAACTTCGAAGAAAATGGCAATGAACTCATTGACGCCAAGTAAAAAATAAATTAAATAAATTTTGTAAATCTTTACCAAAGTAGATACGTGTTATTAAAAATACATCCTTTAATAAATATCCAAAGTGACTAGCGTATGAAAAACACACGGGGTATTTTCTATTGAAAGCAGCAAGCAAATCTTAACGTCCATCATTCCAGCCTCGCCGCTAAAGTTACATAATGGTTGGGCAAGGTCAAGCTTTCAAAAAGCCGGGGCATCTAGCATCATCAGTTATAATCAAAGAAATCTCTTTCCACACTCGACTTATGGCAACGAAAGTGTTCCTTCACTAATGTACCGTAAAAAATGTAATTATCGAAATTCAAAAAATCCGGTTGTTTTTGACTTGGTTATTCTACTATTTGTTTTGCAGTTAATAGCATCTATGGAATGTTATATCTATTGTTCTCTAAAAAGTAAAAAAAAAAATTATTTATAGTGAACCAAGCGTTTATAGCTGCAAAACAAAACCTCATTACTGAACATCAGTTTGGGGTTTGGAAAGAAAGAAACTGAAAATTTTGACAAGGTACATCGTATTACTGATATCATTGAATTATAGTTCGAAGAGAATGAAGTCTACTCTGCTGTGTTATTTAATATTTCGAAAACCTTCGCTAGGAATGGTTCAAAGGATTTATTCATAATCTTCGGAAATAGCTACATTAATAATTTTCTGATTTCTTAGCGTCGTACCTAACTTCTTTCGAGCTAAGAAAGGTTCTACTCGCAAATGAAAATTATTGATGCCAGAGTCCCTGTAGGCATACTTCGACCTTTACTATATCTTTGATATTTGGTAAAGAGGTTTTTGTTCCAGAAGCAAGTATTATCCTTTGAGTTAACTCTCAAGAGCATAATAGATTAAGTAATATTTGCCAGAAATTGAAGGCTTTTTTTGGCATCGCCATTTTGATGGTAAAGTCTTTATGCTCCCCTTAAAGATCTTTTCACCTTATTTACACAAATTTGGTTTAAACGATATTTACAGCCTCCACTGGAGGCCAATTCTAAAGCAGCCAAATCATTCGCCATACACAGAACCGACATGAACAGAATGGTAACCATTTCGTTTGAGGTTCAAACTATAAAGTGGATACATAAAAACCTCCCAAGTAGGCTTACTGAGTTGTTTGTGTGTCTCTGGCTTTGTGCTGAAACACAATTCACACCTGTTGGCCAAAGTTGGGCGCTTCTGGGCGTTTGATTCCTGCAGACAAAGGTTCGAATGAAAATTTTGGCCGTAGGGGAGCACCACATACTCGATAATCTATTGGCTATGCGTTTGTTGTTGTTGTTACAGCGGTTCGCTAACACCGCTTATGTACATGTTTGATCAATCTAAGTCACCGGGGTCATCTGGTGGGATGTCCAGGAAAAGTTCCGACGGGATTGGACCAGAGCAAGAGAAGGGTTAGATGAGTCGGTTTAAGAGGGCTAATGAAAAGGTGGTTAGTATCGTGCGGAGACCCTCCGTTGAATATGCTGGTATCGAGTCTGGATAATTAGGAGCTTAACCTGCTACAGTATTCAGACCTAAGTCAAATACTCTCCTCTATTTATAATATTTAATTCCGACTGT